TTTGCATAAAGAAAATAGGTCGTGCTGAGCGAGGTTGAAGACAACACAAGGTTGGGATTTGAGTATTTGTACTAGATGAGTTTGATATAAGTTTGACAAATAGTTAGAGTCATAATTTACATGCTCATTGCCTTTTTATAACAAATGATAATGACATACTCCTTTTTGAATTTGAGTTTGGCATCAATAGGAATAGATAATCTGTCTGCTCTTGTAATTTCTTGGAGGGAGTTCCATTTTGTAAAATAGTTGATGCTAGAGCATTGAGAATCTCGAATAATGGAAGGAGTGGATGTCACTCTATTAAACCTCCCATTAAATGTATCGTTTCACTTATATTTGCTTAATTAAACCATAATTGGGCCAAACTCCATACTCTCTAGTTTGGGCTTCAGGGTTTTTTTCGTAATTGGGCTTGACGTTTTGGATTTGGTTCAAACACAGTTGTAAGGGCTTGATTTAAAAAAAAAAAAAGCTATAAGAATCTAATTTAAAATTATAAAAAACTAGAAGTCTAGAACACTTGTGGATTAATTTCCCTTCCTCTTTTTACATCTTAAAAGCGTTAGCAATTCGAAAGTCTTTGACCCTTATAATACTTCCAAATGTTCGTAGAAAACGAACTCTTGCTACACATCTGAAAGCCATCAATCCATCACGTCTGACATGCTTCTACATTGAAGCTGGGGACTGATAAGTTTGCATACATAAATATACACTATTCTATATTGATATTTTTCAATCATATATCTGATTTACTCGATGTCCTTCATAATTCATATCATGTGTCGACCTGAATTGTCTGTTATTTAATTCATTTTCTTCCTAGTCATATATTTACTCATTGCTTCGAAATATAATCCTTATCCCGAAAAAGAAAAACAATGCAAGACTAGTGACAAAACGGTTAAGTAGAATTAATCAAAGTAAGGAAGACAAACATTTATAATTGGCAGAATGACGCATAAGGACCGTGAAAGGAAATTAATCATTTTAAAGGATCATATTGCAAAGAATGACCAATTTTTTTTTTTAATTTTAAAAAGGTCTGTGTCGTCCCATTAATAAAGTTGTTTCATCCCATTATTTAATATCTGTAATTCTTTGCAAAGCTACCTTTTCCACTTCTTACCACCCTTTTCCTTCCTTTTTTTTTTTTTTCCTTTGCTTGGAATAACTTTTCCGGGTATGTATTTAAACAGAAGACTAGGATGAAATTGTAGAATTAGATGGTATGATCCAAATTGCAATGTAGCAGTGCGACCTAAGCCTCATTCCGGAATTATGATGCATCTCTGAAGGTTGAATATGGCATAGGAAAGCCGCGAATCAGGAATACAAAGAAGTGGCAGCTCAATTAGGCAATTACTTTGTTTGAGAGCCACATTAGATCAAATATCTGTAGTGAGTCTAGTGCCACCTCGGTGATCGGGACCATTTATCAGAAGGAATGCGTGTTGATGGAATGGCAGCTGAGGTTTGCTTGGTTTGTCAAATGGTTACAAGGCGTTAAATCTTGAGAAGGTGGAATAAAAAGGGACAACACCTGTTCTTGGATATACTGAGATTTCTTGATTGCCTGATAGCTGTAATTGATTACGGTACAGTGATATTTGCTGGGGCCTCATTTGTTCCCTTTATTGATAGGAGGATGCGTGGTTCTTGACGGAGCATGAAAAGAATCAGAAACACATTCCAGTTCCCTGGTTTTGGAACTGAAGAACGTGCGCAGGTGATCACTTCACGTGTGTGCAGTGATGAAGGCTTTTGCAATGAGTTCAGCCAAACTCTCAAGATTAAAGCCAAATTTGGCGATCTTCGACACCCAACATTGCAAAGATTTGGTGAGGCTGTCTCAGCTGGCCCTCTTCATATTTTTGACCCGCGAGGACGAGGAAGGTAAATTTTAAAGAGAAGGCTATGTAATGAGTCTAATGACACCTTAGCCATCGGAGTTGGTTAATCAAGTGGGACGCGTGGCACTTGATGCTTAAAAATAAAAGGGGAAAGAGTGGGGAATGGAAGGACTGGTATGGATAGATATGGAATAAGAAAAAGAAAAGGGCATCAAGAAAGTTCTGTACTATTTCTTTTCTTTTTCTTTTTCGCCAATTAAAGTTGTTTTTGATCATTTTTATTAGTCATCTTCTAGGGTTATTGGAGTATTAAAGATAGTAAGAGAGGATATAACTAATGCTAATTAAAAAGAATAGTATTATAAACTAATTCAATGCTTTAACTAGTCTTTAACTAGTCTTCCTCGTGCATGTAAATTAGTTGAAAACCGGGAGTGGTATATGGCATGTGACATTTGTTTATTTTAATTCATTCTCTTTATTTTAATCCATTTCACGTACGAATGAAAGCAATCAATTTGAGCGCAGGCTGAGGCTGGACAAATGGTTTTCATTGTTTTCAAAGGCCCGGGATGAGATAACAAGGATGAAGGAGCTGCTCCGGGGAAACAAATTGCAAGAACCTGACAACATGAGCTATTGCCATATTAACATTTTGGGCATTGATATTGCTGAATAGGGAATTGGGTGAGTGATGATGGAGGCATGCACACACAAGCGCCTGGACTAAGATGGTCCACGTTGAATATCATGCAGCAATGCTTGAGGTGGAGCAAGGATTTCGACAGTGGAATTTTGTGGGGGAGAGGATACTTTATTAATGTATTCAGACTGGAGAAAAAGCAGTGTTTGTCTCACTGTTTTATTATGGAGAGATTTAAAAGCGGACTCCACAATGGTGAAAATGAAAGTCCCTACCTCCTCACTCTCTCGACAATCATTGCGATAGCACTGGTGAGTTTTTCTCAGGATGCGCGTGCGTTGTCTTGAAAGACTTGTTAAGATTAATTAAATTACAAAGTGTTTAGTTCAACTGGTGGAAGACTGTACTAATTTAACTAAAAATCTTGAGTTCAAATTTGAGAAACACAACTGTATTAAATGCTTAGTTAGAGAGTTTTATTACCTTCAATGTAGAACCCATGACTTACATAATTATGTATATAGAGTAGTTAGTAATGAGATTCGAAGCACAACTCTCATGAAATGCCCTTACTATAGTTAGCGTTACTACCAATGAACCCATCTTCATTGAGACAAGAGAGTTGTCCTGCTTGGGCGCATAACTGCAAAGCTTGGAGGGTAGCTATGGCATTTCCTACCGCACCTTTGTGGTATCAGGCCCCTCTTTTGTTTGTCCCCTGTTTTCCGAAGGAGGGGAAAATGACATTCATAAAACAAAATTTCAAAGCAAAGTGATCCACGTTGGTCCAAAAAAAAAAAAAAAAAAGCAAAGTGATGCACCACCTCATATGTACTCTCCTATTTTGTCTTACCTGGCATTTACTCCCTTGGTCGCTCGACAATATAATAGGTTTATATTTTGGGACGTTAATTTTTTTCTAAAAATATTTTGTAGTTTAGAGCAAAGCTGTTGTTGTTGTGTTAATTTTACTGTACAATTTTTTCAAAGGAAAAAAAACTGAAAATGCCTTGAAAATAGTATTGGCGGGAATATATAATTGAAAATAAATCTTTTTCTTGACCGTAAAATTTAAATAATTTTGTTGGCAATAAAATATAAATAATTTATCGCAATATTCACATGATTTATTTCATTCTTTCTCGGCCATCTATCGCCAAATTTACCTCGCCCTCACGCGTAATTATTTTATTCGCACCTACCATAGACTTGCTTTCCTTGAAATGACAGCCCACGGAATAAATGTTTGATCGACCTATTTCAATAGCAATTAAGATTTTGAATTTACAGAAACCAAGTTTCTTAGTTGACATGCCATAAATATGAATTATTGTGTTTAAGTCGATATTGAATCAAAATTTTTGTACTAGTATTTTATGAACAAAAATGGAGGGAGAAAGAAAGAGGAAGATTATAGATGTTTTGGCGTCAAAGCGCTAGGATAGGACAGGGTTAAGAAGCACAATGAAAAAAGAGCATAAAAACATTTTGACGAAGAAAAATGTAAATGGATGAATATACATACAAAGAAAATGTGGGTGTAAAGAGGACGGAGGCAAGGGAAAATCCAAGACGAAAAAGCGTCCCGTAAAACATGGGATGGATTCAAAAATTTGGGGCGTATGGGGAGTATGGGTAGCCTTGCCTTTTGCATTTGTCAAAAATTCCCACAAAGGTAAGAGTGCTAGCATCAGATTTGTGGTCCACCTACTTGATGATTGACCTTAATCCAATTTGCTCCCCTCGCTGATTTAACCCTTTTTCCCTGTACTTGCCTACACACATCAAACTTTATGCCGAAGGAGGCAACAGTGCAAAAACTTGGATCTTTATGCTGCTTTCAACTCCAGTGGATGCGATGAGGGGGAGTGAACCATGCTTTGAAAGCAAACACGAAACACCCCGTCAAATTCATCCTTGTTAAAGTATAAAGACGTACGTCCAAGCCGCCCAGACATTAAAAAAGCCTACCTTCCCCTTTCAATTTCAATCATCATTAGCCACCCTGTCCAAATCTAATTTGACTAGCCTCCAGAACAGTGGACCAGGACCAACCCAAGACCCCATCTAGAATTTAGCCGGAGAAGAAGACATTCACAAGAAGGCAATGCATCCACAGAGACATACATACAATACATCCCCCAGGTGGATGGGGTTTGAGCAGATCCAATCAGTACGAGCACTGTTATGATATTTAAAAGAATGGATTGAAAGGGAACGAGGGAGGAGGAGGAGGCAAGGACGGGAATTGAGAAGGATGCTCGCCCACTGGGCTCAATGATTCGAGCCATATAGCATCATATGAGGTGGGAAAGTGATCCTAAAGGGTCCCACCACCACCATGGCATCCAACAGTTTCCAAACCTGAAAGCGAAGACATAATAATAATAATAAAGAAGTCGCATACAGACACAGTGTTAAACCCTCTTTGGTGCTTGCAACTGCATGCTCCTCCGGCGTCCTTCTCTCTGCTGAATCTGATTCTGGCAAAACAACATACGCCCCTTCTGCTATTCTGCGCTCCCCCTGCTAACCTCAACACCCTCCTCGAAATTCGGGTGTGTTTATTGTTCAACGGAAAATACTTCAATTTTTTACTCGGTCAGTTATACGCGTAAATGCGTGCGACTGCGATTTGATTTGAGGGCTGAGAATAGTAACAGTGTTCAGTGTTGTTGTACGACCAAGGTTGCTGTTTAAAACATCGCTGGCTGCGTTATATAACATTTTCCCTCTCCTGCGTTCAAACTATCGTTATCATTCGGGGTCATGCCTCCTCTTCTCTTTCTTATGGTGCTCTGCGCACCGTTACTAGCGTGCGCGGAGCGAAGCAGCGTCGCCATTGCCGAGATCGGAGCCCTCACCTCCTTCAAGCTCAACCTCCAGGATCCTCTCGGCGCTCTAGACGGCTGGGATCCTTCCTCGCCGGCCGCTCCTTGCGACTGGCGCGGAGTTGCTTGCTACAACAACAGAGTCACCGAGTTGCGCTTGCCTCGCCTTCAGCTCAGTGGCCGCCTCACTGCCCGTCTTTCTGACTTGCGCATGTTGCGGAAGCTGAGCCTTCGCTCCAACTCCTTCAACGGGACCATTCCTTCGTCTCTTGGTAAATGTGCGTTCCTTCGCGCCGTGTTTTTGCAGTACAACTCCTTCTCGGGGACTCTTCCGCCGGAGATCCGAAACCTCACCGGTCTTCAGATTCTTAATGTCGCGCAGAACCATCTCTCCGGTAGAATCCCCGGTGACCTCCCGTTGAGTCTGAAGTACGTCGACCTCTCGTCGAACTCCTTTTCCGGCGAGATTCCGAGTGCCATTGCCAACCTTTCTCAGCTCCAGCTGATCAACCTGTCGTACAACCAGTTCTCGGGCGAGATTCCGGCGAGCTTGGGAGAGCTTCAGCAGCTCGAATACCTCTGGCTTGATCACAATCTTCTCGGGGGAACTCTGCCTTCGGCACTCGCTAATTGCTCCTCGCTTGTGCATCTGAGCGCAGAAGGAAATGTGCTTGGAGGAGTGATTCCGGCGGCCATTGCAGCTCTTCCGTGGCTTCAGGTGATATCACTCTCTCAGAATAATCTCACCGGATCGATCCCAGCTTCCGTTTTCTGCAACATTTCGGTCTACACGTCGTCGCTTCGAATCGTTCAACTAGGATTTAATGGTTTTACGGATATTGTCGAGCCTCAGGCATCAACGTGTTTCAGTGTTCTTCAGGTTCTGGATATTCAGCACAACAGCATACACGGCAGGTTCCCCTTGTGGATAACGAAAACGTCCACGTTAACAATGCTTGATGTTTCGAGTAATGCATTTTCTGGCGAGATTCCACCAGGGATCGGAAACCTCGCTAAATTGGAGGAGTTAAGGATGGCCAACAATTCATTCACTGGGTTGATTCCAGAGGAAATCAAGAAATGTTCATTCCTGCGTGTTGTTGATTTTGAAGGCAACGGGTTTACCGGAGAAGTTCCTTCCTTTTTTGGTTACATGTCAAGGCTGAAGGTGCTGTCCCTTGGGGGGAATCTTTTCTCCGGTTCAGTTCCGGAGAGTTTTGGTAACCTTTCGGCGCTTGAATCCCTGAGTTTGAGAGGTAATAACTTGAATAGAACCATGCCTGAGGAAGTCATGGGATTGAGCAATATTTCAACTCTTGATCTTAGCGGAAATAAGTTCACGGGTCAAATATCTTCTAGTATTGGGAACCTGAGTCGATTAATGGTTCTCAATCTGAGTGGAAACGGCTTTTCCGGAAAAATCCCTGCTAGTTTGGGGAATCTTTTCAGGTTAACTACACTTGACTTGAGCAAGCAAAATCTTTCTGGGGAGTTACCATTTGAGCTTTCAGGGTTGCCGAATCTGCAAGTCATTGCTCTGCAGGAGAACAGATTATCTGGGGACGTTCCTGAAGGGTTTAGCAGTTTGATGAGCCTGCGATATGTGAACCTGAGCTCTAATGCATTTTCGGGACACATTCCTGAAAATTATGGCTTTCTTCGATCACTGATTGCTCTTTCTTTGTCTGACAACCACATTACGGGAATAATTCCTCCGGAGATCGGAAACTGTTCTGATGTTGAGGTTCTTGAGCTTGGTTCAAATTCTTTGACGGGTCATATTCCAACTGATCTCACTCGACTCACTCATTTGAGAGAGCTTGATTTGAGCAGGAATAATTTAACTGGAGATATACCCAGGGATATCTCCAAATGTTCGTCCTTAACTGCTCTGCTAGTGGACCACAACCGTCTTTCAGGCACTATACCGGAGTCGCTGTCTGAGCTATCAAACCTGACAATGCTTGATCTCTCTGCTAACAACTTGAGTGGGGAAATATCTAGTAATATTTCCATGATCCCTAATTTAGTGTCATTCAATGTATCGGGGAATGACCTGGAAGGTGAGATACCACCTACCTTGGGTGCTCGGTTCAACAATCCCTCTGCATTTTGGGATAATCAGAACTTATGTGGGAAGCCATTGGATAGGAAGTGTGAAAATGTAGTTGATAGGGATAGGAAGAGGTTGATTGTGTTGATTGTTGTAATTGTTGCTGGGGCTTGCTTATTATCATTGTGTTGCTGCTTCTACATGTACAGCCTTTTGCGGTGGCGTAAAAGGCTTAAGGAACGGGCGTCTGGGGAGAAGAAAAGGAGTCCTGCTAGGGCGAGTTCTGGAGCAAGCGGAGGTCGAGGCAGTACTGATAATGGTGGACCGAAGCTGGTCATGTTTAACACCAAAATTACACTCGCAGAAACCATTGAAGCAACTAGACAATTTGACGAAGAAAACGTGCTGAGCAGAACAAGGTATGGGTTGGTATTCAAGGCCTGCTACAACGATGGAATGGTGCTTTCAATTCGCAGACTCCAAGATGGATCACTGGACGAAAACATGTTCAGGAAAGAAGCAGAATCACTAGGTAAAGTGAAGCACCGAAATTTAACGGTTCTTCGAGGTTATTATGCCGGGCCACCTGACTTGAGGCTCCTGGTCTATGATTACATGCCTAATGGAAACCTTGCAACCCTCCTTCAAGAAGCGTCTCATCAGGACGGCCATGTTCTGAATTGGCCAATGCGCCACCTCATTGCACTCGGGATTGCTCGGGGGTTAGCCTTCCTACACCAGTCCTCAATGGTTCACGGGGACATGAAACCACAAAGTGTCCTGTTCGATGCTGATTTTGAAGCCCATTTGTCAGATTTTGGGCTCGACCGTCTCACAGTAGCCACCCCTGGCGAACCCTCCACTTCAACCTCAGTTGGCACATTGGGTTACGTATCACCTGAAGCTGTATTAACAGGGGAAGCCACGAAAGAGTCTGATGTGTACAGCTTTGGCATAGTGTTGCTCGAGCTTCTTACAGGAAAGCGACCAGTGATGTTCACACAGGACGAAGATATAGTGAAATGGGTGAAGAAACAACTACAAAGGGGTCAAATCACAGAATTATTGGAGCCAGGACTTCTTGAACTCGACCCAGAATCATCCGAGTGGGAAGAGTTCTTGCTGGGGGTGAAAGTGGGCTTGCTTTGCACAGCACCGGACCCTCTCGATCGACCAACCATGTCCGACATTGTGTTCATGCTCGAAGGTTGCCGCGTCGGACCCGACATCCCGTCCTCCGCTGATCCAACCTCTCAACCTTCGCCGGCATGACCCGAAAATGGACTTTTCTCCCGGTCAAGTTTGACATTTTTTAATCTTTTTAAATTATAAAAATTGTTGTAGCTCCGATTTACTTTGCTGAAAATATTTCTGTCCAAGATTTCAAGCAAATTTTCTGTCATTTTTTTTAAAAGCACTCCTGCTCAATTTGCTGTTTGGAACTGATGCCGGACTCGAAGTTGGCAAGGTGGGACCACAAAAAGTAAAATAAAGTGATGCGCTCATCCATCTCACTCCCTCAGTCAACTATTTTGACAATCCGGTTTAATAAGATGGAAGAGCGCGCACGGGCCCACCTGGCACTTCCCGCCAAAAGCAAGGGTGCCCGAAGGAACTGCGATCGACTGATTTCCTGGCATCATCATGTGGTTTTAACGCAGGTTCAGGCCAACTGCATATAGCCGTTAACGTTGTGGGGCAAGAGCAGGACGTACATCCTGTTCCCTAGGGCGGGTCAGGGCATCGGGTGCCTCACTTTCCACAGTCCCTCAGGAGCCACGTGGCTTTCTCTACTGCCCTTGCAAAATATTTTTTTGTTCAGAGGCAACGGGAAAGTGAGGGGATGGGAAAGAGAGAATAAACAAGAAGACAAAAAAGTTCACAAAAATTCAGGCCCCACGATATCTGCAGCACGGAGTGGGGAAGCGTCAGGCGTTATAGAGCGAAGGGTAGATGATTGATTGGCCCACGGGCTCAACAACTCTGATTTTTATTTTTAGGTGGGGCTTTATCACCATTAATGGTTACTCGTATAGTATTGGATTCTATCGAGTTTTGTTTTCTAATATAACCAACCAGTTTTTGCTTTTGGGGCTGTATCACCTGGATAGCCTTAAATCTCATGTCTCATATTTTCACCCCAATTTCATTATTATTTATCTATCTCTGTTTTATATTTGGATTGAGAAGTAGAAGTTTCCTACTGCGTTGCCCATTTCACATGGAGAGAGGCAAAGATAAGATTCCCCACTAGCGGCACAAAAACAGTCGTAAAGGAACACTGGGTTTTTTTTTTTTTTGGGTCAAAGGAACAGTGTGGATTTAGTGTAATATTATACGATACAGGTTGATTGGCTCTGAAGGGTCGACACTGGACAGAGAAGCCGATAAAAATCGTGCAGTGACCGTTAAGCGTCCTTCCCAATTTTGTAATCGTTTCGTCGTTTGAACCATGTGCAAATTCGCCTGCTAGTATTTTTTATTTGTCACTGAGGTAGTCCGACTTTCTCAAGTTATGTGAGCGAAAGTTTTCTTTATTTTTTTTCCACTTACCAATTGCCAATGGGGTTCCCGGTTCCCACTATTTTCGTCGTTTAAGATCAGAAACTCCATTTTGGATCTTTCCCCTGGTCAAATGAAACATTTGAAGGAAAAAAAAAAAGAACCAAACATAACAGCCAAGACATCAAATGACTCCCAAGTCCAACTTCTGAATATTTCATTATTTATAATTTATAACAAGCTCGGAGCAGCTGGCGCTTTTTATTTTTAAAATTTGAAGATCTGTGTGTTTCCATTGGGTTGTCGTTGTGAATATTGTGTTTCCTATTTTTGTCCTTTTTACGAAGAGGCCGGACTATCTTTTACATTGCCATATATTTTATGATTTGAATTTTCTAAATTAATATTTGTAAATTTTTGTGAAGTTTGCCTTTTAAAGTAAGGAAAATAATATTTTGTATTTTATAAACAAATAAAAAAAAGTCGCGAATATATTCATAGAGGTTCATAGGATAAGAACTTATCTCCTCTGATTGGGCTCAATGAGATTTACATTCTCACTGGCCATACAATGGTTATATCAGAATAAGACCCAAAAAAAAAAAAAAAAAGAGGACTACTAGTAACTATTTTTAAAAATGTAATAATAAATTCTTGGTCTATCCTTCTTTTTCTTTTTTGACTAAACATCAACTACAAAGTCACAAAGTTCATAAAAGTCACACAGGAAAATAAAAATTGGGACAATCAAAAGAGTGAGAAATAGACTTCCACCATTCTTCCTAATGTTCTGGCAGAATTTGCAACCAGTTGAACCTGAAGAGATTTAGCAGAGAGTGCATGTCTTTTCTCAGGATTTTTCTAGTAGGCTCTTCGTAAGTCTAGCTGAAGACATTCACAAAAACAGCTTTCTTGATGAACACCAAAGAAAAATTAGAAAAACCTGGTGGGCCAAAGATATCCAAGTCAGTTATCTTGAGTGCCGCACGCAATTCCATCAGCGCAAACTGCATCTGCCTTGCCTTGCTACACTTTTTCTTTCAACAATGAACATAAAATTATGGAAAATAAGGATTTTTCTCTTTCTTGACTTGTTTCTTCCTCCCTGTATAATGTGATTTAAGTCGAGGAAAAGGAACCAACCTCTTCAAACTCTTGCTGCCAGAGGAGAGTTCCTCTTGGATGTAATTTGGTTGGTATGTATAGTTTGCCAAGCTTTTTCTTTTTGCTTTTGCTTCTCTGCATCTGCTAATGAGACATCAATATTAGCTATGGCCCTATTGATCATCTCTTTTACTTTTGGGGATATAGCTTCCGAATTGAATTTTTTTTCCTATTCCTACATTCCCAGAGAGCTTGAACCGCGAGCAAGATTTCCTTTAACTGATTTAACCAATCCTTATCAGTTGCAACTTTGTTAATGCACCCAATAATGAAAGATCTAACGTTGGGTACTCCCTCAGTTCTGATAGAGAGGCTTGAAGAGAACCACATAGCTCTAGCGAGATCACAATGGATGAAAATATGATTCGCAGTCTCCTCTTCATTACCACAAATGACAAAACAGCCTTCACTCTGCAAGTGATGTTTCTTCAAAATGTCAGGAGTAGGAATAGTTTCATTGATGATCTTTCAAGAGAATAATATAACCCTGAATGGTAGCTCGATTTTCCTGTACTCTTTCCTGTTCACTCCTTGTGCAGAAGACAAACTTAGATTGTGTTCAGCCATAATAAGAGAAGAGAAACCTTTTTTAACTGAGTAAACTCTATCATTAGCCTTAGTCCAGATAAGAAAATAATTCTGGTCAAAAAAGAAGATAGGTGTTCTTAGTATATCATCCCTTATATTGCGGCAATAAAGAGAGGATATAAGTTGCTCATTTCAAATAGCATGATCTTTGTCAACAAGCTTTGCAACAGTCAAATTACTATTGCCACCATTACTGCATAAAGTAAACCACTTCACGTGACTATTTGGAATGTTGCTTTCATTACCAACCTGTCATTTTAGGTTGTCCACAATTAGAAATGATACCTTAAGCACATCCTTCAAGATCCAAGAATAACTAGCTTTAGCCTTGCAATTTCCTTCCAGAATCGATTTTTGATACTTAACTTCTCTTCCAATAAGGGAGCTATCATTAGACGTGATGATTTTCCATGCCTGTTGTGCCAAGAGAGCCTTATTCATCTCATTGAAAGGCCTAAAACCCAGTCCTCCCTTGTCAACACTGCAACATAACTTTCGCTAGGAAAGAAGATGCATTCTCTTATTTCTAGAGTTGAGGAGCCCCAAAAGAAATTTGCACAAATTGAATCCATATTTGGGCCCATATATCTGGGTAAGAGAAAACAAGGCAGTTGACAAAAACAAGAAGAAGAAATCACATATTTGATCAAAGTCAATATGGCCGCTTAAGGGATAGTAAAGAAGCTTTCCAACCGCAAAGCTTTTTACTAATCTTGTTCAAAATATTAGCAGACATTCTTTTTCTATCAGAGAGAATGGTAGCAGAAATCATCAATTTTTTTTTTTTTAACCACTACACAAAAGTGATTGCTAGCTTGGAAGAACAAGAAGGTGTTGTCCGCATAACTCAAATGAGTAATAGGATGGGCATTCCTACAAATCCTAACACCTTTTCTTTTGCCTTGAGCCTCCATATTATCCATGTGAAGAGAAAGAGCATTTGCGCTCAAGATGAAAAGATAAGGGGAGAGTGGGTCTCCCTATCTGCCTCCTCTGCAAGGAAAGAATTGTTTTGAGAGTCTTCCACTTATTAGAAGCTGATATGAAACCATGGTAACACATTCAATTATCATGGATACCCATATTGGAGGAAAGTTCATCTCTGAGAGAATTTGATGCGAGAAAGACCAAGAAACCTTATAAAAGGCATTAGAGAAATCAATTGTAAGTGCATTCCAGCAGCCCTTCTGCTTCTTCGTTGAGTGAATGTAGTGTAGCAACTCTAATGCTATCGAAATATCGTCCTAGATTAATCTGCCCTAGATAACTGCAGTTCGGTGAGGAGAGATATAATCATCAAGAATACATTTGATCCTATTTATGATGACCTTAGAGATAATTTTGTAAGCTACACTGAAAGGGCTGATAGGTCTGAAGTCTTTGAAAGTTTGAGGAACTTCACATTTGGGAATGAGATGAATTAAGGTTTTGCTCAAATTCTTAAGGAGAAATCCTCAATCACGAAAGGTAAAAACCATGCTGTAGACATCTTCACCAAATAAGTTCTAGTAGTGTTGAAAGAATTTTGCATGAAAACCATCAAAGCCTGGGGCACTATCATCTGGTAAGTCAAAAACTGTCTTTTCAACTCCATCAGAGGTAAAAATTTCCATCAAGAAGTTGACATAATCTAGACTTAGCTTTGGAAGATTCAATCTCGACACAAAATAAGAACTTTCATCCCAGGATGCAGAAATTTAAGAACAGTAGATATTAGTAAAATGATTGATAGCTAGGGACACAACCTTGATTGGATCGAAAGTCCAAGAATTCTCCTCATCCTAAATCTGGTCGATTCTATTAGTTGCTTAGTTAGTCTTCACCAGTGAGTGAAAAAATTTGGTATTTCTATCTCCTTGAAGTTGTCTTGCCATTTTTTTAATCTTCGGAGCCAAAGAGAATCTTCACATTCAAGAAGGAACTGTAACAAGAATATTGTTTCAGCCGCTTTAGAAAATTCAGAGTTTGCTTGTTCAGATTCTAGTTGCTTTTCCAAGTTTTGAATCCTCCAAGAGAGGTTCCCAATTCTGTTTTTATTCCAACTGTAGAGGCTTTTCATTGTTATAGTCAGCTTAGAGTGTAATTTAAAACCCGGAAGCCAGGGAAATTCAAACTCTTACAATTTCTGACTATATCATGACAGTCTTGGAATTTTAGCCAGAAAAATTCAAATCTACATAGCCTTTTAGCACTCACATTATGATTTAAAAAAAAAAAACTTGAAAAGACTAGGGGAGCATGGTCAGAAGCAACAACAGAAAGTACCAATAAGTGGGAAACAGGAAAAGAGGACAGCCAAGAATGACTTATGAAAGCCTTATCTAGCGTTTCCCAAACCTCATCCGTTCCCAACCTTTTATTAGTCCAGGTAAACCAACGCCCTTTTTGAGAAACTTCTGTCAAATTACAGTCATTAGTAACTTTGTTAAAGTGATCTGCTCCCTAATATTCCCACAACTTATGGATTTATCAATTCCATATGCACATTGATTAAAATCACCAAAAATTAACCATTTTCCTTTTATCAAAGCAGATTGAGATTCAATTCAATTCCAGAGAATATATCTATCTTCTACTCTCGGAAAGCCATAAACAAAGGAGAGATACATTTCAATACCATCAAGAGATTTAACAGATACATGGATTGATTCATGGGAATTAGGAGTGATAGGAGTAATTAGGAGAATTAGAGATATAAGGGTAGTTTAGGTATTTGATTCCATTATTTATAAATAGGTCTCTAGGTTGTAATAGGTCATTGTGAATGAAATGAATTAATCTCTTTCCCTCTTTATCTCTCATCTGCCTCTCCTCTCTCTATTTCTCTTCTTCCTTTGTTAAGATAGGGTTAAATGGCAAATTTGCTTTTCTCCAGGGGCGCTTGGCACCCTAAACATTTTTTGGAGCATTTTTGCTCTAAATTTCAAAAAGAGAGCATTTTTATCCCACCGTTAAATATAAAAAATGTTGACCGTTAAACTAAAATTTGATCAAGGGTTAAATAGCATATTTGCCCTAAAAATTTTTCTTCAGGGGCACTGGGCATCCTGAACTTTATTTGAAGCTTATTTCTTCTGGAACTTTAAATGGAGTAATTTTGCCCTCCCTTCTTCTTCATCGTCCTCTTCTTCTTCTTTTTTCTCCTCCTTTTCTACCAGCAAGCTCCCATACTACCATAGATTGAAATCCAAATTTAAAGCTAGGAAAAATGGGCGTCCAAGATTTGTGAGCCTCATAAGAAGTCTCGCATTTGGCTCAACACTTTTGCCCCCTAAAAATGACTACTCAAGCCCATAATGTCACCGCTATGTTTATCAAAGGCAAATCCGCCATTGTTAACTTCCCCTAGATCGTCGTTATCCTCCCTTGACTTGCCATGTGCTCTTCATGTAACATTCAAGCCGTTGCTTTCGCCGCTGCCGCCATGGTCAAGTTTGATGCTGTGAAGCCCTTAAAAACATCTAAGTCAGGGTCGAAGTCTACAAAGTCAACAAATAGTAAGAGAGCTTCCATATGGTTGAGTTCATTTAGATTGACTCAACATATAGTTGATCATTTTTGAGTGTAGGTATGGGTTTGGATGATTTGGAATTGCTTGCTATTGTTCTTGCTTGCTTTTCATAAAGTTGTTTTTGCATTGTTATTGATGCTAATAGAGGTATTCTTGCTATCTAGGTGGATTTTTTTAATTTTTTTTAAATGCCGCATTGCTACAAGTGGCAATTAAAGTCCAAGTAACGGTTAATACTGATGGCAAGGCAAAATTGGTCTCCTTTTAAAACTTTCAGGGCAAATAAGCTCTAAACAAAAATTCAAGATATCTACAGCTCTTGGATAAAAAGTTTTAAGAAAAATATGCCATTTAATCCTTGATCAAATTTCAGTTTAACAATCAACATTTTTTATATTTAACGGTGGGACAAAAATGCTCTCTTTTTAAAAAGTTTAAGACAAAAATGCTCCAAAAAAAGTTTAGAATTCCAGGTGTCCTTCAAAAAAATGTTTCAAGACAAGCTTGCCATTTAACCAGTCAAAGTATCAGAGTCTCCTCTTCGGCTATGGCTTTGCCGGAGAGCTGATCCAATGAACGCATTGGTGCTTTCGAACGTTGTTTGGAGATGCAGTTATCTTTACTTCAATGCAACTAGCAGACATTAGAGCAACAAACTCACAACTTCATTGAGATCAAGTTACTAGAAGTTCAGGTGGGAATCAAACTATTTCCTATTGAAATATAAAATAATAATTAGATATTTAATTTGAAAGCATTCTATAGGATAAAGATTATTTTTATAATTTTTTTAGTAAATTACAATGCCTTTCATTGTTAAAAAAAAAAACTTAAAACATGTTGACTATTAGAAAATATACCCTATACTTTTACATGATTACTATGGCGTAGTTTTGGTTTTATTTCTAGATTTATAGGTTGCAAACTGACTGGTGTAGAAGAACAAGAACCCCTACAAATTAATACAGTAACCATACACAGGTGTAAGCATATCTTTAACGCCCATATAAACATTGATTGTTTATGGAGTTAATTGCAAATTTAAAGTGGTCAAGTGCAATTTAAAAAAAAAGTGAAAATTTTGCTAATTTAGCATGGGATTGAAAATTTTGTTGCGTAGAGAGGACAATATGTCAAGTACTTTAATATGGTGCAGGATTAAATCTTTCAAAACCTCTAACCTTCCAATCTCTTGATTTGTTTAATATAAAAAAATTAGTATATTTTACCATTAACGTTTTGAATTATGAAACATTGCTTCACAGTCATTAATTTCGTTTTTTTTTTTGTGTGTCATTTTACATCTTTTTTTATTAACATAATGTGAAGTGTATTTTGATAATAAGAATGATAAAATAACCCTTGTGGTTAGTTTACTAAGAAAGCAATTGTCAATTTTCTATTTTCAAACTAGAAGTATCATGATTAAACTATCAAGACGTGAAGTCTTTTATCTTAATGAAAGAAGCAAAAGGTGTTTCTAATTCACTTAAGAACATTTAGCATCCTAAATTTATATATGATATAATTTTTTTCCTTCAACATTTGAAAATGGTATATTAAGCACCCTCTGGTTAAAAAAAAGTTAACTTTAACTATAAGTTAACCTAAAAAAATTATAAAAAAAAGACCTCAAAAATGATAAATATTTATAGAAAAGTAGCATATAAGACAATTAAGTGCTCATAATGATGTCATAATTTATAAATCTTCCTCTAAAATTTACCATTAGAGTAAATCTCAAAAGTTAACTTATAAATTGCATGTGAAGATTTGTAAAAACTAATAAAATATTTTTTAATTATTTATTGATGTTATTACCAATAATTGTAATTACCTAGTTGCTGGTTAAATTAGTTGGTCAATATTATATTTTGGTCGTTTATATAGATAAGAAATAATATTTGCATCATAATATTTATATGTAATTTAGGATATTTAATTAATATTAATTTTTTTATAAAGTATTCATATATAATTTTCTAGATCTTTTTCTGTAAATTTTTTATGTTCTTTGATGTAATTTTTAAATCAACTAATGATTAAAAGTAATTTTTTTAACAGTAAGATGCACAATACAGTGTTTTCAAATGTTGAAGAATATGCTCTTGAGTGAGTAATTAAGATAATTTAGAGATAAAAATATCATTTAACCCTTAAAAAATAAGAAACTTCATTGAGGGAGGCGGGAGCAGCAAGGCTTACTGTTTTAGGGGGAACACGGCAGAGGAAATCCACAACAGAACGCTTCGTAGACAGATCACTTGCATCACATCCACCAATTGATCAGAATTCAAACAGAGGAAACCAGTTGAAGGGAGATCGCATCTCCCTTCCAGAATGAAATCTGTGAAAAGGATAACACAATATTAGATTACCAAATTTTGTCTTTATAAAGATCTCTAATCTTATTTGGACTTAAAAACTGACGATTTAAATAGAGAGGCGGAGCAGTACAACAGTTTGGCATGAGCTTCCCAAAACTGTCATGAATTTGTGGTAATCAGCACTTGATTGGCTCGCAAAGATGACAGTGAGAATCATTTCGACAAAATAGCTTTTGCTATTTGACTTTCGCACACAGAAGTCAATTTTATCATTGCAGCGTTGACGAATGCAATACTATAATGGTGCCCTTCCAACTTCCTTCAGCACTAACATTTGAAATATCCACATCAAATCTCCAAATTAAAGATGCCAGTGCTGTTCCCTTTACAATGCTCTTCTATATCTCCTTAATGTTGGGCCATAGTCAAAGGGGCCTTCTTTCGACCACATGTAAAGAAAATGGATCCCACAAATAAAAATAAACGGTCGTTTGCACACAATGGATGGAAGGTGTTGGTTGCAACGTGTTTTTTACTTCATAATTTATTTTACACCACTTCATACTATAAGTTATTCAATGATTCTCAAAAAATAATTTATAGTTAAATTTACACTTTTACCCTCTGAAAGACAAACTGTGTGGCATACATTACCACAAAAAGATCCCACGGTCAATTTCCCCCTGTAGAATAATACTTGTCGACCAGCAAAGACAATGCTAATTACAACCAGAAATTTGGCATAAACTAGTAAAAAAGTCAGGAAGCGCTTTCTCATGGTATTTGGAGTAACATGTAGTAATCCGTAGAACGTTGGGTTCATATTTGTTCATATTAAATTCATTTTGATTCATACTTGAAATTGTAGCGATACCATTCTGCTCGGAAATCCAATTTGCATAGGCTTTAATCAATTGGATAGATACACCTTGTGTAAACTCAAGTATACATACAAGAAGAGAGTCATGATCTTCATTACCACATTCAATCAGCTGTAGTATATATATATATATATATAGAGAGAGAGAGAGAGAGATACCTAACACCAGCATCTCCTAACATAGCATCAATGATGCCTGAGCAGAAACCCCAGCAAGACCACATGTAAAGCGGATTTAAGCACTAGCTCCGGCCTCATGATATCACTGCATCCACACCTAAAATGGCCGAACAATTTCAGAAGGGTCTAGATTAAAAAAGAAGAATATGTAGCCGAACCCTGGAGCAAAAATCAGTTGGAGGGGAATGAGGGTCGATTTCCACAAGGTTTGGAAAGGAGAAGCCAAGTCTAGGTAAACTAATCTTTAATTTTCTTTGGCCGCCGAAAAAAGTATTATGTTTCCTTCATTCTCTGTTGGATCATGACAAATGAGCTACAAAATCAAACTCAACGAGGTGATCTAAACCAACGATCCTATCCTATTTAATGAATTTGTTTGTTCACAAATTAATATTAATTGAAGACGAAATGGGAAGTTTACGTAGAAAAAGAAAACAAACGTGTTGAAATGCAAAAAAGATTAGTAGTTTGACTAGAAAAAAGTGTACGTTAGGAGACGAAATATTGAAACACTTCAGTAATTTAGAAAGGTTACAAATTCTCGTGCAAGTTGGCTCGTGAGCTAGCATGATATGTTTTTCCCCATTGCATTATGTCTTTCGCCAAAAGTATTCCTTCATTCTTTTGCAGTTCAACTTGTAGAGAGCAACAAATACTTCGTTTTCAGAGCAACCAAAGCAACGGCAGCTTCGTGGAAGCCGTGAATGAAGCAGTTTCATGGCCGCTGAACCCACTCATTTTTCTCACATTCTGGTTGATGGTGGGTTCTTTTTCTGTTAAAAAAAAAAAAAGTTTTTCTCGGTGCAAATTTTGTTACAAAGGCGAAGGGGGAAAAAAAAAAGGCAATGTCCACATGTTCGTCTCGATGTGGTATGGGAGGGCATGGGGACCCAAGGATGGATGAAAGAAGTCCTATTAAACATCACCGACGTAATGATAAGCGATGCCCTGCCACTTTGATATGGAAGTGTAATTATTCTTTAGACTTTGGTATTACATCTCTGAGAGTTGTCCACTTGGCCTCGCCTGTTAACATTGAGTCCTTTATGGCAAAATAGACACAACAAAAGCAACGCAGTACAAGCAAATAGCAACTGGAGAAGCAAGCATTGATATGTTAGGAAAGTAAGTACTATTCTCACGTTCTAAGCTTTCGTCGGCACTCTGCATTCATTCTGGAGCATCATTTCGTCTGAAGAAAGCATCTTTTTTCCCCTTGCGAGTTGCGATATTTAGCTGAGGAAGTTGTGAATATATATATATATATATCTTTCCTTTAATTATAACCGACAAGTCCTAATCAGAGATAGGTAACAAAGTTCAATAAATATATAAAATGGTCGCAAAGAAAAGAAAGGAAAAAGTAACACACAGAGAATCATACCTTTTTGACAGAATAACCCAAAGAAAAATCTCTCATTAATTGCAGAAGATTGCATCTAGAACCCAGAGTCATACATATCTGTGCAACAAGAGATCTAACTAGTCAATTCCAAACGCGTTGCGATCAATTTGAGTTGGACCCTCCACTGAAACCTCAGGAAACTCTTGTCAAACACGGGGCACAGGCAAAGCCTAATCAATCAAATCCCACCATCATTTTTGAAGCAGGACCCGTCGGCTCGCCTGTGGCCATCATGCCATTCCCCATTCATTCTTTCTCAATCACTGGCCCATCTTCAATTCCATGCCTCCAGAGTTCGTGTTCAAATGAATTACTTGTCCATCACTACCATTTTTTTTTTTTTGGAGTTCTCTGTTGTCTTGTACCTAACTAATGTTGCCGAGAACAAGCCAAACAAAGAGTGACATTTGGTCGAACGTATGATGTGCGTGCCCAAGGTGAATGAGTATTCCTTTTTCTGGCGAAGGGTCGGTCTATTGCTGTACACCACTGTTTTCTATGTGTTTTCTCGTCCTTCAACCACAGTAGACGTGCAGAGGAGCCCTTGCGAAGAGCGATACGTGTCTGCATTCGTAAAAGCATTTTGGAACCTGCTTGCAATGGAAAATTAGACACAGGAATATCCACTCTTGAACAACATAATGAACAATCATGGCTTCATAGAACGAGAAATTACTAGTTGATTAAAGCTTATAATTTCACTCCCAGAAATCTTGAAAAAAGCGGAGAGGAATTCCATCAAGGTCTAAGGATTGGGGTGTTAATCATAAAGGACCGAGTGAGGCGTTAGGGTTGGGCTCTAGAAAGCGAGGGAGCATGCATATTAAATTGGTGTTTCAGGGAAATGTTTGAAATAGAATTAGCACCTATAAGTGGTGCAATCATGGTTGATGTCCCCCTTGAGAGAAGCTTGTGATTCACACCTAAATACAAAGCAAAAACAGGGAGTGAAGCTGAAGACTCTTCTGGCAAACCCGATTACATTGTTTTCTTCTGTTCCTTTCCACTATAAAGCAGGGAGCTCAGCCCGTGGCGATTTCTCATTACCAACCACCGTCAACCCTAGATTAAAATTCCAAAACTAACCTTAGAAAAAACAAAATTGTGGGGGCAAAACCGGAGGTAAGGTGAGGTTCGGAGCAGTGTCCGTGTCAAAGCGGGTTATTGAACATCCTTCAAGGACCCAGCAAGGATTTCCTCTAGCAGATTACGCCAACCCTGTGCTTTTTTTCTTTTTCTTTTTCTTTTCGCTTTTAATTTGCTCGATAACTATTATACAACATTATATAATATGTCTTGCTACGAGTCGCAGAAAGCCAAGGAGATTAGTTAGAGGTTCAGTTCACAGTCACTCACCTCACCGCCAGAACTTTGGTTAGGGAGAGAATCAGAGGAAGTGTTTGGTGGGGTCTACGGGGGGTCGCGTGAGCTCAATGATGCGGTCCGCCGCATGATTGCCGACCACCACCGCCGTCCTACGTGGACTACACCTGTCCACATCATTGTCTCGTCCCTCCAACATCAATTCTAAGAAAACCTCTCCCGTTTAAGAAACATGTATGTCGCGCTTAATGCTTTATCGTTCGGCATTAATCCGAAACCATAATTATTTATGAATAATGCCGTTTTTCAAGAGTTTTATCTATTTATTGATATTGATTCTATTATTATTATTATTTAAAAAGGCATCTACTACTATTTCGTTGCGAAAATGCAGAAGAAATAAGCGACCTTCAGGAGTTCAATCGAAACGTACGTTTAACTTTCTTGTTCCAAGACTTAATGGCTAGGAGGAAATAAAAATGAATTACGATTATGGGAAAAAATTATCTGAGTGCCCCATGAAGCTGTATGGTACTTACATACAAATCGTAAGAAGTAAGTGTTGTCTTTAATATAATATATTTAAATTTAAATACAGGAAGCACATTTTATTACTGTTTGCGAGTATAAATGTAGAAGTTTCTAAAGTTGAAATACTTGAGAGTAGGAAGGCAGTGAACGAGGGGTAAAATTGAAGGCATTTGCAGGGAGATAGGCAAAAAGAAAATAGTGCAATAGATGAAACCTAAAATGATGTGAAAAGCAAATGAAGGGAGAGATAGACACGTGCAGCACGAATTGTGATGTATTTTTTTTTTTTTTTAAATTTAGACTTGTGATTCCAAAATGACTAATAGAGAGTAATGATTTTGGGTAAAAGTGGATGTGATTAATTAATGATCTAATTAAGTGTATAGCCACAAGCACAAAGGCCTCGCGGCTCGCTTGCATCTCACTTTCCTGCCTCTCCCCGGTGACGCCCCTGCATTGTCCATGAGTCCTTAGTCACCCATTGGGCCACCTATTCCCTAATTTAATTATTATATGTATGTACGTATGTATACATGTATGTATGTATTTGCACACAATATTTGCTTCTGAACAAAGATGAATATTGTGATCGGGCTTTCCGAATAATTAAATAAGTAGAGATGGGGATAAAAGTTGTGCAAGATGTCTTCTAAGCATGGACAATACTTCTTTTAGCTTAATTTAGCTTCATTTATTTTAATCTTCGTGTGAAAATTGGGTTTCTATTATATTTTTTTCAGGATACAATGAAGTTGTACCCTTAAGTGTGAATTGTACTTCTAAGATTCAAGCGAAAATAATAATGATTTTGTAAAGTGATAGTTTAATTTTATCCTTGTTGTACTCAAATACAAAAATATTGAATTTTAATAAATCGATTATAGAAATGAGTAATGGTGAGAGTATTAAGTAATGCATTAAAAGTCATAATAACTTTCATGATAACATTTATACTATGTAGATAATTTAATAATTAATATTAAACAGTACTTATTTATGATAACTTTTTATGAAAAATAAAGTCATTTTAATATGTAAAGCTTTTTTAAATGCATTTCCTTCCAATAAGTGACAATTTTTAGTTTTCTAACTTTTTAAAGATGTCTTTAAAAATTAGAAAGACATAATTTTGATGATTATAATTCCTTGCACAACATTAAAAAAAACTCATTAATTTATGAGAAGGTGACATTTAAAAAAAGAAAACCATGTTTTGTTTTGAAAGTATTCTAACATAATGAAGATGCACGATTGATGCTCCACGTAATTAGCATAAAGGTTTGGATTTAAATCAAGAATGGAAGTCAAGAATACTTGAGCAAGATGAGCCAGAGAGCAGGAACAATTAAGTGAAGGAAGAAGTAATAAAAAAAAAAAGTAGGCGATTAGGTCTAAAACTCGGGATAAATAAAATAAAGGGCCTTGGCGGAACATAATAATAGTTCAAGAAGTGGGATCTTCTTCAAGATGAAACCGGTGGACCACACGGAAGATACATAATAGCGGTTCCATTACCTTTTTCTAAGTCGTCGCTTTCTATCAAGCCTCTCTAGAAGGCTAATATTACTATCATAATAATATTAATAATATAAAATGAAAAAGAGCTGTAATTATTACAATTTAATTACCTTGGAAGCTATTATCAACATTACAGGCAACACCCCCACCCAAGGTACTGCAGTAATTAAAGGCCGGAGCCAAGCATGATCACCAATTCTCCCCTTCCACGTATCGGCCCAAATCGTCCTATCCTTTTTCAAATCTCCTCGAAATGAACACACTTAACAATTTATTAAAAAAATGTTTTGTATTTTAATTCTCAACCAATCTGTGAATTTTCAGCCAGAAGAGCTGTTCAATTTCTATTTCTAATTCCTTTTGTGGGTGGTGGTGGGGAGGAGTGTGTGAGTGTATCCCTTTAATCAAAGGCAAGTAGAATGAATATATAATGTGGAGGGTTTCAATTTGGAGGGAGCTTGGATAGAGGGGATATATATATATATATATATATATATTTGCAGTGTGTGTGTGCGCGTTTTTTTTTTTAAAGAATAAATCGATGATAATATTGTTTGTCTTGGAAGTAAAGTAGGGAAACATGTTCACCAACCCCTCCCTTGCACGTTGCTCTGCTTCATCTCACTTTACGTTTTCTCCTCTCTTCCTCTCCTCTGCCTAGAAAGACGGCTCGTGCATAACCAAAACACATATAAATCAGCCAGCTCAATGAAATAAATCACTGCGCGCGCGCGCGTGCGCGTGTTCTCTCACTTTAATTACGTTCACTCCTTTCTCCATATTCGTTTTGGGAATGGAAAGTTACCGATTGAGAAAATTAAAAGGACTCGAATCATCAAATGGAGCACCTCCTTCCTGTGAGCTGTGTTCTTCTGTATCATCATTATATTATTGTCATTTAAAAAAAAGGAAGATTAAAATAAAATAAGCATATCACCAATAGGAAGGCGTGCTGCTCATCCCATCACATAGAGTGATAGAGTCACTTGCTCGTCCAGAAACAAGCAAGGCAAGGGCATATATCGACTAGATTTCCCACGTGCATCCGAAACAATTCTCTTTTATTATTATGTTATCTCTTCTTCCTCAAGTTATGCAGCTGCAAAGATGAAAAAACGCTTTTTGTTTTTGGCCAACAAAGGCACCTTTTTCTTATTAAATTACATATATATGATGTTCCTAACCTTTTAATCTGAATATTTTATTTGATTTGTATCTATTAATATTTAATACAAAATAAAATTAGATAACGATTTAATATACAGCTTTAATTATAAAAAGAATGATCAGCAGTTTTGAGTTGTTACCGGATCAACAGCGTCCATGAGAAATAGGAGAGGCAGTAATTGTCTAATTGAGGAGTGATGAATAGGAGCGATGGGACCTACATGGGACCCACATCTCAAAAAATACGGAGGATGGGGTGGGACGGTAGGCAGTGACGTCAGATGCTAGGGGACAACCTTCAAGCCATGCGCAATTCGGCGGTCCTCCCCCTCTCTTTTATTTATATATATAAACTCCTCGCCATTCGCACTCCTAACGGAATTTTTCTTTTCTGCATCTCCCATCTCTCTTCTTCTCCGATCCGTTCATCTTCTACTTCTTTTTTAACTCGAGTTGCTCCTCATTTTGTCTTCTTCTTCTTCATTGCACTTGTCCTCTTCTTCTTCTTACGCAGGTACTACTCTTGACTAATCTGCATGCCACTCTCCACGCATCTCCACTGCTAGACTAGCTTCCTTAGCTCTCTCCATTCTCATCTTGTTAATTTACGTCTTCTTCTACTCCACATCTTGCCTCTCTTCTTTTCTCTTTTGCCCTGGGCTACTATTCCTCCATCCAATTAGGCGCATTCTTCTTCTTCTTCTTCTTCTTCTTTCCCCCATCCCCGACGCCGCCATTATATAACTTTTTCTTCTATCTTTCAATCTTATCCATCCCATCCAAGATTACAGATCCATCGGCAACATCATTATCGGATTATTATATGCATAATCGACTGAAATTAAGTAGCAGCTATATACAGAGAAGAGAAATCTTGCGCCTACTAATTAATCATGTTGCTTGTGTTCACCAGATCATATTTTATCTTCTTGTTCTGCCCGTGGAACCCAGTAATTAAAACTAGCTTGTGTAGGGAAATTTTAGATGTCTTTCTTCGTTTCTCTTTGCTCATGTTTGTCCCCCAAAACCTCCATTTTCTTTTCCTTTAATTTCCAAAGATAAAAACTATGAGCAACCGAAAGTTAGAAGGCCGAAACTGGGCGTATGGAGGTCTCTCGTGAAAATTGTGAATTTTGGGTCTGAGCTTAATCTCATAGTCCGTCAGTGAAAGAGGCCAGAGAATTGCCAAGGAAATTCTCGACAAAGAGACAAAAGAGTCAGAGAGTCCCCCAGACACAGACTCTCTGCCTGATGCCTCACTCGTCTCAAGACTTGTGCGTGTCCCTCCTCCTTTTTCTTCTTTTCACTATTCTTTTTTTCCATGGCAGGCCTTCCTCCAATTGAAACCCCCCTTTTCCTTTTGTCTTCCAACCAACGCGTGCCATTTCGTGATAACGTCACCGTTCCTTCTCTTTCTTCATCCCATCTTCCTATAACTTCAGTTTTGTGCTAATTCTTTCATTGTGATATTAACATTCCATTCTGTACTTTTTTCTATGGTTTAAAAAGCCGTTCTCATCTTGTTTTGTTTTCGCGTTTTTGGACCATGTCCTACCTGTATTATAGTTTCATTATTCACATAACATGTGTAACTCATAATAATTTCGCGGCGGATATGTATTGTTTATGGAAGTGGAGGGAGAGTGTGAGAACCCCGTTCTTGATGAATCATTCCCACCATTCATGAACACAAGACAGCATCATTATAGCGCAAACCTCTAGTTTCCGTTTATAATTTCTTACAGTTTTCCTCCACGACACACATATAGGCTTAAACTAAACTCTGACCCGACCCTTTCTCTCTCTTGGTTTTTTGAACAAAACCAAACTCTCATGATTTAGTTCTCTCTCCCTTTCCACCTCTCTCTAGCTTTTAACCCCGGCACGGCATAAATCATTGTTTCTGAAATTATGGGTTTTGTTTTATAACACTCGCTCATTTTTATTTCACTAGGGGAATTTAATTTGGTGAGTGTCGCTCACCACCAAATGAGCTTATCATTATATCTGATAACACTCGTCACCTTTTCACCAAATACCCCTATTTTTTTTTTAATTTTTCTTTAATCTCCCTTTCTACTTTGTAACTCAACTGTTGTGCGGAGGGTTTTTTTTTTTTTCCGGTTTAAGAAAACTTTAGTACATGTTCTTTACGATCAGATTATCAAGGGAGGATGAGTCTTATAAAAAATTTTAGCCATATTTCTTATTTTCGATATATAAGAATGATTGTGTGTAATACCTTATGCCTTTTTAGCTTTATGAAATTCACATAACTGTTAACGTGGGTTCACTTGTGCGATAATACACACACAAGGGTTGTGGTTGTTTATAATTTAAACATGATGATGAAATTAGTCACGTAAAGAGTGTGGGTGGAGGGTGTTAATGGAGATGGTGAATTTGATGCAGTAGGAGTTCGGTACTTGGGTATGATGGAACCGATGGAGTCATGTGTCCCACCGGGCTTTCGTTTCCACCCAACAGACGAAGAGCTTGTAGGCTATTATCTCAGGAAGAAAGTAGCTTCTCAGAAGATAGATCTTGACGTTATCAGAGAGATCGATCTATACCGCATTGAACCATGGGATCTGCAAGGTACATCTCGCTTAGCTTCTTCATTTCAATAATATAGTTCAAACTAGATGAAAGGTTGAATTAATTCATCTCATGTATTCATTAGGGTTTGCTTTACATATATATATTTCCAAGATCCCTTGAAGTAATACATGGAGTTTAAATGTGGTATGACAGAAAGATGCAGGATCGGGTATGAGGAACAGAACGAATGGTATTTCTTCAGCCACAAAGACAAGAAATATCCGACGGGGACGAGGACGAACAGAGCAACCGTGGCTGGGTTCTGGAAGGCGACCGGAAGAGACAAGGCTGTGTACGACAAGACCAAGCTCATAGGAATGAGGAAGACCCTTGTTTTCTACAAAGGAAGGGCCCCTAATGGACAGAAAACTGACTGGATCATGCATGAGTATAGGCTTGAATCTGATGAAAATGCAACCCCTCAGGCAAGTACTACGTACATATATGAGCTCTTTTATTAATTTTCCACTTTAGTTATTTTTTCTTTTCCTTTTTGGTTTAAGTTTCTCTACGTGCGTGGGCTGTGAAATGCTGATAATGTTATAACAAACAGCTTGAGAGGGAATCTCAGGCAAAAATTAAATCTCAGACTCTCATCATAGAGCTCTAGTTTTTAGTAGAGTATACGTATATGTACAATAAATATTTTTGGCAGGGGGGATGAATTATTTTCGTTGTTTTGTGTGAAGACATCAAAGTAGTCTCAAGTGCTAGAAAATTATTGGGAGGACTTACTGTTCCTCTTGATGCTAAAGAAGTTTGATTGGTCTCTTCAAAACTTACTTTATAGCTTATAACAAAACAACTTTTTTCTTTACTCTTCACAGGCCACTAAGGTCTGAATATTCACCAAGGGTACGTACAAATGTCTCACAACATTAAGTCAAAAGTCGTTTACTTTCAACTTTCAACAGCAGAATAATTGGTTTGCTTTAGTTCCTTTCCATTTCCTTCTCTTTTGTAGACTTTCGTTCTATACGTAAACATCTGTGCAATTAAATTAATCGTCAAGTTGTCTTCCTTTTTTCCTTCAGCAATTAACGGATCTTTGACCTTTGTTTACCTCTATATTTTTCCACGTCAATTTGAAACATTTAGAACTTTAGTTCTTTTTAAAGTGTTCTTAAGAAATCAAACTTAAATGATATTATCTTTCTTTTTTAACTGATTATTCGTGGATTACTTTTTTTGGGTGCTACCTTTGACTACATCCTTCTGTTACTTCTGCTGGCCAAACACAAGTTGATAAGTCTGGAGAGCTAAAAATTGACCCAAACATTGAAACAAAAAATTGAAATTTTGTCTCAACTTGGTTCCACATTTGTGGTTGAGTATGAACAGGAAGAAGGATGGGTTGTATGCAGAGCATTCAAGAAAAGAAACAATGGCCAAACGAAGACAATAGAAGGATGGGATTCAGGTTACTTTTATGAGGAGACAAGTGGAGGCGACTTCGTAACAAGGCAGCCTCAGAGTTTGTTAGCTCAAAGTTTTTTATGTAAGGAGGAGATAGAAGCAGATAATAACTTAAGCTTCATGCACTCAGACCAGTTCGTACAGCTTCCTCAGCTAGAAAGTCCATCTCTGCCATTAATAAAGAGGCCAAGCTCGTCACTAGTGTCTTTAATATCACGCGATAATAATAAAGAAGATGACCAAAACAGGCTGGTCAACAACAACAACAGCAGAGTGACTGATTGGAGGGCTCTTGACAAATTTGTGGCTTCTCAATTGAGTCAAGATCAAGAGAGGCATGAGAGTAGTGATAATCATGGAGTGCCAGGCTTTGAAACCCATGAGGCAATGCTGCTATTGCAGAGTAGGGATGAAAGCAACAAGTTCAGCCCATTTTTAAATGGAAACTCAGACTGTGACATTGGGATATGCGTGTTTGAGAAATGAAGAATTAAAGAAGTACGGGAAGAGAAGGAAAGGTTTTTATTGGGACGCACGTAGTACTATATAAAATACTAGTTCATGTGATGAGTGCCTGAGACATGTATTTTTGTGAAAATATTCTCCTTTGAATTGATGAGACGCATGCCCCCAAGATGACTCTAGAATCTAGATAGTTTCTTTCATGTTTAAATTATATCACAAACAAGAGCGCCCTGGCATAATAGCATAAGAGTCTCTCATGCCTAAGAGTCAAGATTCGATAATATGACAGTAGAGAGAATAATCCTCCATGCTCTTCCTATTATATGTGCCTTATCACCTGTATTCTACGTAAAGAAGTATTATGTACTCTTTTCTTAGTGTTGGAAAATTCTACGACGTTTCTATCCTTTACTGTGTGTTCCTAACATGATCGATGAACGGAATTTTTTAAGTGTGCCTATATAATGAACTGCAGTATCTGCATACTAAACATAGTTATAATATGCAATATATATGTTTTTGTTGGAGGTTGTTACTATATGTATCATACAAGGGGGAATATTGGAAATGTCACTAATGGAGTTGCGCAAACATATATAGCATTACATAAAATTGCACTAGCTAGTTGATGAAAACCCGTACTCTTGGACTCCCTCCTGTACGTACACAATCAAGATAGAATGTGATTCTTACGCGGGAGAATGAGAATGTGATTCTATCTAATTATTTATTTTCATCTCTTGATGTTAATTTCTTCCATCAATTCATCTCGTTGGCGCTGTAACTAGTTAATTTGCTAGGCCAAAATTAAAAAATCATATCTAGCCAAAATTAAAAAATCATATCTAAGTATCGGTATATTAATTTCACCTCTTCGATCTACACGAGACAACCTTAGTCAAAACCCCCAGGGTGCATGCAACTGGTGAACGACAGCGCAGGTGGTATAACATATGTGTTGATTTTTCTTTGAGCAGAGATATTGCCATTGCATGCCAGGTTCAATAAGCATATAATATATGCTTTTCCCAACAACGCATGCAATAATTTATTTAGTCACTTATCCCGGCAGCATTAAATATCATTAACAATTGATGGAGGACGCGCGGACAGCCCCAATTGATAGAGGACAAGTGTGCAACAATCAAGGCAAATTTAAGATCATTAACCTTCCTATTTATAGTTGATTAATTGACCGGCATATTGATGTTTTAGAACACAAACTGTCTCGCAGTCATGCTGATCTTTAGAATGACTTTAAGATAAATGATTATGTGAGAAGTTTTGTGACTTTTTGTCCCCATAAAGAACCAGCCAGTGAGTATTGAGTTAATCTTTTCAAACTTTAAAAATGGATAACTCGTAATCATAAGACATGAACATTATATACGAGAGGTCAAGCTAAAGAACCAAGAGATCCCAAACATGGCCAGATCACATTGGACGAGCACTACTAAAAAATAATTTTTTTACATTGCTTCTTAAAATCAGTTAAGCAAAAATTCATTGTAAAATAAAAAAAGACGGTGGCAGTTTCATAAATAATGTAAAAAGTTTTAACATAGATTATATGAATAACCAATATGAAAAAGCTAAAAAATTTCAAAAAAAAACAGAAATTTTAAAGTTTTCAATATTGTTTTTCTTAGAATCAACATTGAAAAGAGAAACGATTTCAGTTTTTTAAAAAATTGACATCATTTCTCTTTGTAAATAATTTCTCAACATCTAAAAAATTGATGTCGTTTCTCTTTATAAATAATTTCTCAACATCTCTTCTCGTTTGAGCAGTCATCTTCCTTTTTTTCCTCTCTTTCTCTTCGTTCTCAAGTTTTCTTTTACTAAACTTGCCCAACCTTCAAAACTTCAACCCTTGCCCATTTCTGTCACCAAGAAGCTTATTTTGTTGGCTGTCGTCCTTTGTCATTTGAAATCTATCAAGCTTTGTCATTGTTGATCTTAGTCTTTAGAGCACATCTATCATTGTCATCTTGTGTGTGGATTTAAGTAGGTTCTTTGATTTTGAGTTTCTATTTGCTTTCTTCCTTCGTCCCTCTTTTTTTTTCTCCCATTGTGAGCGAGTGTTCTTCAAATACATTTTTTTAGTGGGTGTTTACTCTTTCTTCCTTCTCCATTATTAGGTGTTACTTTAAGTAAGTTCTTAAGTTTTATTTTCTTCGCTAGTAGATTCCAAGTAAGTCTCATTGTTATTTTTATATTTTTTTATTGATTTGTGAAAATCATAGTAGTTGGATTTGAAATGTTGCCTTTACATTTTAAATTTTGCTCTTTGTACTTTTTTAATAATTTTTTCTTTTTCTACAATGTTGCTTATGTTAAGGGGAGAAATTGAAATTCTTTTTTTTAATTGAGTTTTTGATAATATGAAATCTATACTTTCTTATAAGAATTAAATTTATTGTGATAAATTTTGTTGTATAATTATGACAGTTAAGATTTGAAAATTATTATGCTTCCAATAGATATTTTCAATTGTTGCTAGATAGAATTTTTTTATTGTTGAAATATTGAGATGTCCTATTTCAAGGGGAAACTTTGTTGAATTTTTTTTTCTAATCTTTATAAATTGAAGAAGAAATGCTTGAACTAAGAAAGTACTCCCTCCGTTCAAAAAACATAAGATATTTTTAATTAAATTTTACCACCAATAAAATAGTTATCTATTTTCAAACTAACTCTATAACATATTCATCCCTATTAAATACCCTATAATAAATATAAAATTATTATTAATAAGAGCACTTTTGATAAAAAAGGAAATGATTATATCTCAAAAGACTAAAAATACTTTACATTTTTTAACATCTAACTTTTTAAAAAATGCCTTATATTTTTTAACAGTAAAAGTATATAATATTAGTCAAAATTTTTATATGAATAAAAGAGCTTCGGAGCACACCTGTTCAGTTCATAGTTGGCAAAAGATATTACATGAGTCATACAATTTTTTTCATGCTTTTGTTTAAATGATATTATTCAAGTATCTATTTGATCCTAATTTTTTGTTAATTTTATTTTAGCCAATGTATGATCGACTTTGCTTTCAAGAAATATAGCTTTTTTATTAGCCTATTGTCTTGAATATCATGATTAGGTTCTATGTTGGATTACATTATGCACTGAGATGAAGATCTTCTAATTTCCATTTTATATGTGCCCTTTGATTATTACTCAAGCAGGGGTTCCCGTCAATGCAAACCATGGATCAATATTGATTTTGTAAGGACAAGCTTTGAGAGGATGGAAAAAGCTATCAATTTTATATAAATATATAATAGAATTGAAATGTGTTTATTTACATTTGAGATGCATTGAGTACATATTTTTGTGCTGTTGACTAACATTTCCCTCCTTTATTAAGTAGTAGGTATGCAAAACTAATATGTAATATGTTGTAAAATTTATTATATTTTGGATGTTGTAAATATTTTTTTTATATTTACGTGAGTTTTTTTCATTTTGAATAATATGAATATTTTTCTGGATTGCAATAAAAATAATTTTTTAAAAAAAATAGAGATATATAACATTGGTTTTTTAAAAAAACGATATGAAATTCCACATGGCTTTTTTTTCTTTTACTTTCCCATAATAATAAATGTAAAAAGTTTAAAATAATCGATGTAAAAAGCATTTCCCGAAGTAGTGAAGAGGTAAAACAGTAATGAAACAAAACGGACCATATGCATCGAGTAAAATTGTAGTCCAAATTCTCATAGAACAATGGTTTGGAGAAGATAATAAGCAGCCAAAAATTAATAGGCATGTAAATAGATGAGAAGGATATATACAAAATGGGTTGAAAAGGCGGGGGAGCACTGATGAGGTTGAAAAATTAAAGTATAGCAGCACTCACACTTTGAAGCTACAGGGTAAGGCAGTGCATGAGAAGTAGATCGAAGATAAGAGAGCGAATGTGAGTTATGGTTGGTGGGTCCGTCGGCTGTCTAGCATGCGTCGTCGTGCATCTTGGCTTCTGTTGAGCATGCTTTGTCTTATGGTGCAAAAGTTGACCCCCCTCCTCCACACATTCTTCTGATCTGCTTCCTCCTTTTCTTCTCTTTTCTTTTTTTGGCTTCAAAAGCTCTTTTCTTTGTAATCAATTAAGATTCTCCCTAGCTTCACCCTCATCTGCTATCCTTTTCTCTTCAACCTAGCTAGTTACAAAGTGCCCTAACAATACGTCATAGACATGTATATTTTTCTTTGAAAAAAAAATTGTCGAATAAGTCGAAGAAAATGCTGACGAAATTTACCCACCTATTTGTTTGGCTTCTTAATGTATGCTTGTGTCAAAGGGATTCTTTGATTTGAAAGAAACATGTGTGTGTGTGTTTATTTATATATGCGCGCGCTCTCTTGTTTCCTTCGTCTCTCTGTGATTACAAAGAGATTCATCGATCTTCGTCTGAGGGCTTTGATACGTGGCTGCTATAAGCGTGGACATAATGGTCCAGTTAACAACCAATTGGCCTCGTCAATCAGATTATTCCAACATTTATGGCCATTGTCTTTGTTCGCTTGCTTGCTATGTTCTTACTGGGGATAACATAATTTGTAGATTGTGACTTATGTTGCTTCCTTCTGAGTTCCCCTTCAAAATGAGTTATCGTTCCTATGCATTAGTACATTTAGCTAGCAGCTAGGTGGACCAAAAGGTCCGCTAACGGACCCCACATTGATGGGTTCACTCCCAACATTTCGTTTTCATGACACATGTGTAGAAGAGGATTTAATCCTGGTTGGATATTTGGATTAATTCAATTTCACAAAAAAAATAATCATAATTTTATAAAAATATATTCAAACACTTCTAGTACATGCTAAAATCAATTAAAAACTTTCAAATCATAGTTATCTCAAATTATTATTGCATTTTTTTAAATCAATCTTATTAATTACAACCCAAAATTAGTTTTTTTTTTTAACTCAAATTCAAACATACCTTCGTAAAAAGAGGCAAAAGAATTTATAGACATTGTTTTTTTTTTTCTTTTTTTTTTACTTACACCTTTGATTTAGTTTAACCTTCGCTGCGCTGTGTTGATCAAAGAAATTGGAATCCTGTCGAGCCAAATTACCATTGCCATTTTTATTTTTTAAAAAAAAAACTCAACTTTTCGAAATATTATGTCTTGTCCGTAATATTTTATATTCTAGCCTAGAAATGCATTTATTACTATTATCATCATCATCATCATCATTATATTTCGTTAATAAAAAGTCAAAGTACAAAACATATGGTAGAAAGTACAAACATTTTCATTTCAGAAAGGGGAGCTTTTAGCGGCATCACCTCACTGTCAAGTTTGGTGAAAATGAGACTCTAATATAAACCTTCATTTCTTTGCTATAAAATAGCAAAATATATGCGCTTCCTCCTCCAAAAAGCTATCTTTATGGCCTTTTTGATACAAATAAGAATGAAAAGGAGAATAAAAATGAGTAAACTCTCTATCGTAGAGAATTCTCCAGGTCCTTTTGCCACGTAACAAACAAAATTAAAATATTTGCCTCTTTCTTATAAAAGCCATTATCTTTTAATAATTCCAAATTGCTACCTCCTCGACTATTCGTTGTTGGTGGAAGTCCAAGAGAGACCACTCAACCCTGCGTGCTCCGCATATGAACTCAAAGTAGGACACATAACAAAAGTTTGAGTACGATTGCTTAACTTTGTGCATTCAAGGGTGATTTGTCATCGGCAGGATCATGTTTACCAATTTCAAATTTCAATACTAGGCGCCCAAAACTTGGCCCGGTTTAATTGTCACTGTCTCAATAACCTCAGGCGACGACAGAAACATGAACCGCATGATTTTGTACCATATTTTTTTGCTAACAATGATTGATTGCTACACTTTGAAAGGCCTAATGTTGGTGTCGGTGCATTTGCTCTCTATATATGAATGATTACTTATCCGACTAATTGGACTTCTTTCCGCACTAAAGTGCATGACATTTTTGTGTCCGACACTAAGTGCCAAAAAGTTATCCAAAATTAACATCGAAAGTAAATGGGATATGCTGTTGCTGGCACTTGGTGTAAAGCTATTCGTACATAAAAATCCATGTGGGGTTGATGTATGTTATAATCAGAGCATTAAGGGGTCATCAACGCTGAAAAAAGCCAAGTTAGTTATGAAGATGAATAACCAATTACTGGGTACACGTGGCAGAGCCTATGTGTTGCCTTCACAGTAACATGGTCCACCAGGCGTTCGACCAATCACGTTAGATCAAATGAGTGCACCTGGAAAAATGAAGGCATGAAACGAACACGGATAAGCAATCAGTGTAATGGTTGACGCCGAAAAGTTCCCTTTGTGGATAACAAACACCCTTGGTGGCACGCACAATGCAATTTTGAATTTCAAGACTAGTCCCCCTCCCTCCCTCCCTCTACCTCTTTATTTTTGTCTGCCATTCGAACTTGCAATCTGTAGGCTGAGTTTGCAGCACACTAGCCAACAAGCTACAAGTTTTCATGGCTCCCTCTACCTCTTTATACAAGAAACTCCCTGGTCAAAGACGTTGCGAGTGTGCTTGTGTTTTTCCTTCAAATCACCTCCCTGAAGCCAGGCTTCAGCCCAGAAGAGGCCCGATTAGGATGCGCATGTCTTTTGGAACAAACAAGTGGACCAACTATTGCCATGATTGTTTTCACCATAACGGGCTCTCTCTTGCAGGAAGAAGCCCAAAAGAATATCCTAGATCACCCAGCAACTAGCGAACCTACAAATTACAAAATCATGCAGCCTAGGCGTGTGTGATGTGCCCGTCTTTTGCATCTCTCGAATGCCAACCATAACGTAACCTCCAGGATAACATTAATAGAGAGAGAGAGAGAGAGTATCAAGAGTCTACTGTAAAACACATATTCGTCACCAATCCAGGTAACATAGGAACTTCCCGCGACTAATGTGTGGCTAACAGCTGTACTCAAAAGTCAAAAGGGGGAAAATGTACCATCCAGTAGTCCACACATAACATGTCATTTGAACTGCAGGAAACTTGCAGGCACTAAACACAATTTCCCATCAAATCTCAATAAGGAGCCGAGTAAAGTAAAATGGAAAACCACGTAGAAAACCCTAAACTGCCTTTTCACACAATCTCCCAACATTACATCCAAAAGTAAACTTGCCAAAGGACACAAGAGAGAAGGTAACCAAAAAAATCAAGGACCCTGGAAAGAAAGGTATAGATTCTCCCACACATATGAACATAATGTGATATGTCAGACAAACTGTCTATACATAGCTAAGAAAGTTCTAAGAACTCATGATCTCAATCACAGATCAGGACAGAAGGACCAAACAGGCATAATTAAGTTTTTCTGAGCATAGAACTTAAGTTCACTAAGCCTAAAGCCTGTACTTCATAACGGTTTGCTCCATGCCATTTGTAACACAAAAACATCAACACGCAAATCTAGAATATTGATTAAAGGTTAAAAAAATGAAAAAGAAGAATAAATAGTGCACACTGGAATTATAATAAAACAGTTGGTGTAAAATATAATAGTCAATATTACACTTCTGTAATTGCCATAGCTTCGTGAAGACAAAGATTATAAAGAAGTTCACAATTCCACATGGAAATGACACAAGTTAATAGTGCAGCACATGATCATGAACGGACACAGAAAATGACTAAGCCCTTTCACCACGAATACGTCTAGCAAGCTGGATGTCCTTGGGCATAATGGTCACCCGCTTAGCATGAATAGCACAGAGATTAGTATCCTCAAATAATCCAACAAGATAGGCCTCTGCAGCTTCCTGAAGAGCAAGAACAGCGTGGCTCTGGAACCTCAAATCAGTCTGGAGAGCATAGGGAAAAGAATAATCAGAGTCACTCCCTTCAATTAACTTCAGAGAACGATAGAGTTGACTGGAAACAAGACGTTGAAAAGAATTGATTACCTTAAAGTCTTGGGCGATTTCACGAACAAGACGTTGAAAGGGAAGCTTCCTAATCAAGAGTTCAGTGCTTTTCTGATACTTCCGAATCTCACTGATCCAAAGATTAAACAAATCAGAAACAAATTTCATTCCAGTTGAAAACAAATTAAAAAAAGGTTCCAGAATATGTTCAGCTTGGGTAAAATAATAACACATCTTTACCGAAGTGCAACAGTTCCTGGGCGGTATCTATGGGGCTTCTTCACTCCACCTGTGGTGGGAGCAGACTTCCTTGCAGCCTGCATAACCAATAGGCAGAATAAAAACTTGGACCCCATACAATTTACACTAGACAATGACTATAAGATACCTAAAATATGTTTTCTTTAAAGCCAAAGTTTAAGTGAATCAGACCCCAAGAACTCATTAGGGCCATATAGGACTCATCTCAAAAAGTGCTGATAAGGATACTAATAAATCATCTAAATGAGATCATTACATACTTACATTGGTAGCAAGATGTGAACTCTCTTTGTTTTAAGGTATGGAATGCATCCTTACCAACGAAACCAACATTCGTTGACAAAATACACGTTTTTAGAATCAATTGCAAGTTTGCAACAATTATACTCCCTTCGTTATATACTCGTGTTAAACACCTTGTCATGCTGACAATGCTGACTAACATGCATGAAGCAACTACAATCAAAACAACCAAATCCATACACATTATGATCAATATCCCCAACAGAATATATCTAACTTCAATTTTCAGGCTATATCTAACTTCAGTCATTATATATGCCTTTAGAAAGAAAAAGAAAACTGAAAAAGACAAATTCAAGAAGCAAGTTTCACATCCGTCTCCCTTTAACAAATTTAAGCTTCAAACGATGCCTTAAACGACGGGCGACGACATTTGACATTTGAAAAACCTTAAATTTAATTTTAAAAATAAAGAAAATAACGAAGAGAACATCGAATAGAAAGAAAAAACCGTTGAAAGATTAGATGAGAAAAACTACTCCTAATATGAAATTAATGCAGAAAGAGACCCATACAATAACTATGAAACGAAAAACTTATCGCAGATTATGTGAACATTGCATCAAAAGAAAATCAAAGACCAGAAATGATATATACTGTATGGATAAATGAACAATTCCGTGGAAGGAAAAGCTACACAAAGAAAAAGAAAGACCTTGGTGGCAAGTTGCTTCCTAGGAGCCTTTCCTCCCGTAGATTTGCGAGCGGTTTGCTTCGTACGAGCCATCTTGATTTAAGCGAGATGAAGCCGAAACTGAAATTATAAATCAAAGCGCGTAAAGATGCACTGGAAAACTGAAGGGTCAAAAGAAATACTGGAAAAGAAAGATCAAGATATAAATTAATGAATACCAGGTTAGGGTTTTAAAATTCCTGAATCTCCAGAAACCCAGCTCGACAGGAAGCTTCAGGGCTCCACGCTAGAGAGAAATAAACGTACCCTTCCTTTTGAAGATTTATAATATAAAATGTATGTATGTATGTATGTAATTGGCTAGGTTTAGAGTGGCAGCAAGATTATAGTTGGGAATTACAGTTGCGGACATTGGCAGGCCTGAGGTTTAAGGGCCTGCCCTTGAACCTGATTTTTAACTTTTAACCTATTTTTTAAGGCTCTACTTTTATGTAAAGTGTTTAGAGTTGAGTTCAAAATTTTATTTTAAAAAATTATAAAAATTAAAATAAAATTAAATATTATAAGTTAATTAAAATATTTTAAAATTAAAAACAATTGATCTCATCACAATATTTTATAAATTAAACAACATATTTAAAAATTTAAACAACACACATTTATCAATCAAAATTAAAATCCTCCTCATTTATAAATAAAACATTAAATCCTTCAAATGTAAATGTACTTATTAAAGATAGAGGTAGAGATTTAATATTAATTATCTTTATAACTTTATTTTTATTACCTACAATAAATATTAACCAAAATGTGTTATTATCAATCAAATATATGTATGTATATACATGTGTGTGTGTGTGTGTGATAAGTAGGCTTATCAGGGTTTAGAGGGCCGTTCGGGCCCAAGTTCTTTTTTTACAGGGCTTATCAGGGTCAGGCTCTCGAGCTCAGTTTTTTTTAAAAAAAATTCAAAACTCGAACTCATATTTAAACAAGATCTTCAAACTCGACCCTTATTCCTAACTTTAAGCAAGACTCTTTTCTCGACACAAATAGAATATTTATATTGATCATATTACTTATAAATTATAAAAATGAAAAATTACGTATAAGTTCCATGAAGCTGATTTATTTACAAATAGATGTCGCAACATTCGATAACCACAATTAGATCCTTTAAGATTTGATTGTAATTTAAAATTTAGATAAAAAGATAATAATGTCCTCATTAAAAAAATATGCATTACATTAGTCAAATATTTTGTAACTACTTTATTAGTAATTTACAACTATAATTTCAACATTTTACAAATATAATTTGATGTATCTAATAATTAAATTAAACTGATTAGTTTAACTATTAAATATATGAAATTACAGTTATAAAAAGTTAAAACTATAGTTATAAACTACTGATGAAGAAATTGTAAACAATTAATGTTAAACTTTATTAATACTATATGATTGTTTAATAATTAGATATATAAAGTTACAATTGTAAAAAATTAAAATTGTAGTTATAAATTGATGATAAAGTAGTTATAAATTAATTATTTAATTGACGTAATGTATATTAAACAAAGGTATTAATGTCTTTACAGCTTAATTTTAAATTACACTTAAATTTTAAGAGATTTAACTGTAATTTTTAAATTTTAAATTACACTAAGTCTATTTTATAAGACCTATACATATTTTTCCTATAAAAATCGCTTATTTATATTGATATCAAGTAGAGTAGCAAACACTATAACGTGACAACTATGTTGAACAACTGTGGGATATGAGGAAAATAAGTATTAAGATAGCATTTGAATTGATACATAAATAGATTTTAGATTTAAAATTTTACAATTCAAATCTCATAGTTAGAATTTATTTATTTAAAATTATTTATTTAAATAATTTAAAAAATTTTAAATAAAGAAGATAAATGAATTAAGATTCAAAATGAAAATAAAAAAAATCAAAAGTAATAAGTTTAATTATATTTTTTAATTGACAAGATATAATAAAAGCATGAAGAGAACAAGATATTTAAAATAATTGAAATTTCAAATGGTTAGAATGTAAAAATAATTTAAAATTATAAATAAAATATAATAGGAGAGATATTTGGATTTGGATTTGAATTTCAAATCTATAAAATTCTATTAATATAAATAAGAGATTTGATCTAATTTTAAATTCAAATTCGGTTAATCCAATCACACCATAAACATTTTTTGCCATAACATGTATTAAATATATTATCATAAAAAATCATTTCATAAAAAGAATAAGAATAATGAATCCAATCATCATGTTCATCACTCGTAATGTTTAATTGTCTTAACAATTATTTAAGGATTAATATATAATTTGAATCATAATTTATAAATCTAAGGACAATTTGAATTTTATACTTATAATTAGTATATTTTGAATATTAAATAATTACATTTGAAGTAACATGACCTCTATCATTAAATTAAAATAAACATCTATTATTATGTTCCACAAATATATAAATAGGCAACATGGATTCACTTATGTGAGTAAGGTTTGTTGCTTCTCTCTCTCATATCCCTTTGCTCCTTCTCCCCATTTCGCAGCCTCTTACTTTGGCTATCCTTTCTTTTTCTCAACTCGTCGTCACCTACTCTAGTATAAGAGAAGGATGCTCTAAGTCTCAAGAAAAAGGGATTAAATCTCATATCCTTAAAACACATCCACACCCTTGGAATTAGTTCTAAAAGTAAAGATCCTAAAACACATAACCTTTTAAACTCAAACTTTAATGATGCTAAAGAGTTCATGGATAGTTTTTGATATTTGAAAGCCTAATTCAACTTCTATGACTCCCAATGCCAATGGAAAACAATATTGGAAGAATTAATTCAAATACAAAAACCAATAGATAACGCAAAGGAAGTTGAAGACCGTATTTATACAAACCCCAACCAAACTCATAATCGAAGAATAGAAATAAAACCTCCAAACACCTACATCGAAAACATTAAACAAAGGGAAACTCGCCATCTTTTCATTACTGGTGAGGTTTCTCCAAATCAAATGAAGACGTGGGCAAAGATTCCTCAACATGAAAAGAAGTTCAAGGATTACCACATTTAATAACCCAACTAAGGGAAGCATTCAAATTTGCCACATTAGGCACATAATGAACCTAGTGGGTTGCAAATCGGTTCAAGCTATGATTGCAAGAATGGCCACTTTTGATTTCAAAGGACGCCCTACTTGAGGAAGATAAACAAGGAGGAGGAGTAGAGGAGAATAGCTTTTGGGTTCTAGCATGTTGTGATTGAGGTTGATGAAAAAGGCAACTTGAGCAAGGCCCTTGGGGTGACAGGGAGATGCATGAGGAGTGAAGGAGATCAAAGAAGGGCATACAGGGGATGTTGGGCAAAAAGGAGGAGAAGGGAGAAGGGAGAGGGATGCAAAGAAGAGAACATAACCAAAAACTAAGTAAAAAAAAAGAAAAAAATTATTTATTCTCACATAACAGCTAATGTTTTTCAAGTCAGCGGTAGGGGTTAAATTGCTCTAAATATAATTGTTTAAGATTTAAAATATACTAATTATGAGTATAAGATTTAAATTATCCCTGAAACTATATCAACCCATCATTCAAATCATTTTTTTAAAACCAGACAGGATATTGAATCGAAAAGGTTAGTGATTTATGGTTCACATGGCTTAATTGGGTTAAACCAATGGTCAAACTGGTGATGTAATAATTAAATTAAAAAATATATATAATAATTAAATATAAAATTATTACTTGACTTAAAAATAAAATTAAATATTTTAAGCTTATTATGACTTAACAAGCCACATGATAAAATATAACATTAAATGATTAAAAAATTAATCTTTTTAAAAAAAATTGATAAAAAATTTAAATAAAAAATGGCATTTTTTGTTAGTAGTTTGATGTTTGAAAATTGGATCTAATTTCTGGCTTGATCTTGATTCTCGACCCGACCACCAATCCAAAGCGGATTAATTCAACTAAACTTCACAAACTATTTTTTTGACTTGACCGAGTCATTAGCTTGACTGATCGACAGTCCAACTAGTCTGATCATCTGATTCGTTCTGATTTTTTAATCATTGATTCAAACACAACATTTTTCAAAATCAATTAGATATTAACTAATAGGTTAGGTTTTATTTTAATAGTGTCCAATCCTATTGATGGATTTGAATTCAAAAAATAGTTTACAAAATTATTTAATTTAAAAAGTCTCAAAACCTGTTTAGTTAGAAGGGAAGGAAAAGAAAAAAATTTCCCTCCTTATTTGATAAGGTGAAGGGGAGAAAAAAATTTTAAAAATTTTTTCTTCGCTCCAAAATCTCCCTTTTAAATTGGAGGATCCTTTCCTCCCCTTACTTTTAAAACTTTTCCTAAATTAAGAAAATCCCTCCCTTCCTCTCATTTTGAACCAAACAAAACATAAATAAATTATCTTTACACTTAATGTATACTAATTTTATCTTAACTAACAGTTTTAAATTTGAGTCTTGACTCTTGAGCACACAATTATGTTAAATAATTGTTAAAAAAACTTTATCACTAATATAATCTTACCTAACTCTAACCATAAATAATAAATAATTGTATAAAAAATATATATTAACTTTATTTTTTTTTAAATCAAAATTATATTTTCTATTTTTATGTTTTTAAAGCAATCTTTTAGAATGAGTTTTGAAAATAAAAAAAATTCAAATCATCATACAAAAAAAATCTAAAATGATAAAATGATATATAAAAATTTATTTATTTTATTAACATAATATTTCCCCATGAAAACTTGATATTTTTTTCCTTTTCTCCTAATTTTGCGGGGGCAAAAAACAAAATTACAAAACAGATGGTTTTGTTGAACTAAAAATAACAAAACATTAAAAATGTTAATAGTTTTAAATTTTTTTTACTTTTTTTTGTCATTTTTAAAAAGGCCTTTCCATCTTTCATAACAAAAAAATTATAACTGGTAATCGAACAACCGTTGATTTGCCCTTAATTTTCTGCTGCCTTTTTCCCACCTTGGCAAAAAAATTGTTGGTCTTCTAGCGATCTCGTGTCTCCTCTTCCTTCTTTCGTGGATTTATACTGGTCCAAGGCCTTTCTACTTCTTGGTGAATATCAAGGTCGCCAAGAAACAAGTTGGATCCAATTAAAAAGAAGACACAGGAAGACACTACAATTAACGCTACCAGTAGACTTCAATCCTTCAGTCAAAGCTCAAAACTATGACCGTGATGAGGAATGGAAATCGTTACATATTGCAGAAAGATTTTCTTTTAATCTCACTGACCGTTTAGCTTATACCCAAATCTGTTATTTATTGATCGACTAACCCAGCTACACATGAAACATCACACTCGCTTGTCAATAAAACTTAGAAAGTTCTGTTTCAACCTAGACTGCAACATTCTTCACTATCTCAACTCCAAAAGCTTATTCTATTCACACATGTTACAGAGCTGCTCCTCACTGACAAGTTCTGCCTCTACTTCGACCAGAGACTTCAAGAAGCTGAGGCAGTAACATTCCTGGCCCTCTTGGATGAAGATCTTAGAGACTTGAGCTGCTTCGGCTTCGCAGGGTTGGATGATTTCTTCGTTTTCTTCATCCCAACCATTTTCCTCGCCGCCTTTCTAGGCTTCTTACCTGTCTCTGTTTTCTTAGCCACGCTTCGCTTAGAGCGCTGAGTCTGCTGTGCAGTGGAAGACCTTGTGACCTTGCCGATGATTTCCCTGTCCCTCTTGCCAGCCTCAGAGGATAGTTTGTAGGAAGCCTTGATCTTGACGAGCTTCCCTCTCGTTGCTTGGTTCTTCAGCTGAAGAGCCAAGATCTTCCTGAAATTCGCGGGAAGAACCGACTTATGCTTTTCCTCCATATACTTGGCTATGGCATAGGGGCTGGAACCAGCCTTCTCATTCAGAGCCAATAAAGCTTCCTTAATCATCTGCAAATACCACCCATTCCATGATTATTTCGCAAAGCTTAACTCAGAATTTTCCCAAAGAGAACCCGAGAATAAAGTAACAATTACAGAATCATCACTCTAACCACCTGAAAATACGGAGGATGAGAAACCGTTTTCGCCTGCTTGGGCTTCTTCTCTTTTGGAACCTTGGGTTTCTTCTCCTTGGTCACTGGCTTCGACTCCTCCACAGGTAGATCAACGGCAGGCCGATCACCTTCTCCGGGGGTTGACATCACAAATAGATAAAGAGTCACAGAAATGGAGATACAAGAACAGAAGAGAGGTTTTTGAACGGAGCACACCAGCGATGGTTTCTGCGCCGATCGACCGGGACATTGAGCTTTATATAGCCAGGGAACAATCGGGAACATAGTTTGGGATTGGTGAATTTCACTGCAAAGGGATCGCCAGCGTGTTCAAAGATAAATCTTGAACGTACGCGTGGCGTACTTTGCATCGTTATCCGGAGGATTTCAACTTGACGGAACAGTTGAGCATTTTCTGACCAGAGGATGACGATTCTAGCGTGGCCTGTTTTTTTTGTTTTATTGGCCAAACACAAAGAGAGGAAATGAATAAGATTGTGTTTCCTTACTCCTTTCATGATCCATTTTCTTCTGACGCGTGCTTCATTTCTCACCAAATCCTTTTTTGGGAATTCATGTTAAGATAGCAACGATCATAATGCAGGTTGGGTCAGGTAAATTGCTTGCTATTTTGGGCAAGCAAAACATTCTTTACTGCAACCAGAGATTTTTGCAGACTCTAAGCCTTGTCAAGATTTTGGGACGGGGCTTGCTTCTGTTACAGGGGAGAAAACAATGTAAATTTGAACTATCAGATTGAATCTAATTATTTAAATTTGATAATTTTTAAAAATATTTAATGAATACTTTAGATTTGCAGTCAAAACAAAATAAAACGAAATTATAATGAATAAAATACTTATTCGAAATTTTGAGTTGAATTACTAAGTAATATCCAAACTTTTTATCACTCTTTCTCTCCTAGATGCTTGTTTGCAAGCAGAATAAGATTTATGAAAATGAAAAATACATTGTAAATAGGATGTAATTAAAAAAGAAATGAAAGAACCAACAAAAATTAGTCTAGTTAATAAGAACTTGACTCATGATTTATAAGATTGTGAAATTAAATTCCATTATCGATATAAAGATCTCATTGATATGCAATTTTATAAGTATTTTTATAAACATTCTTTAAATCCTTAAAAACATGTCTTGATTATGATAAGTTTTAAAATCTAACTCGCCTAAACATTTTTTTCATTATGGGGGGAAGAGAAGGAGGAATGGAAGAAATGGTCTTATCCTACAGAGAAGATGTGGTTCAAATTATATTTGATAATAGGAAAGACTTTTGAGGTATGAAACATAGTCTACTTGACTCCCAATGAATCTCCAAAACATAACTGAGACTTTATATCCTTGGCGGACATGGCGGACCATCTTAAAGGGAGACATGTCTTTTGGTGGCGCTTCTAGTAACGCAAGAAGCTATGCATTGAATGCTGTCGGAAATCTGTGGCGTTCAATCAATCAACCTCCACTTCACATCCGAATAATTGGACCTGCCTTCTCCTTAAATTCACAAACTTGTTGATTCTCTATGGGAATAATGTCCTTCTCTGCAGACTAGCGCAGATTGGGAAGCTCTTTCCCACGCAATTTTTTTTAATTATTTCATCAGGAGGCGTAACAATTGGTTCATTATAATAGAAAACCGTTCCCATGCTCGAGAGCTCCTCTCATCTGCGAGATCTTTTCTTAATTATTAACCATAATAAAATACCACCCTAACACAAAATTCAAACTCTCTGTAGCATAGCTCTTTCAAAATAATAAAACCTCATTCATTGGGGAAATATCATCTGATGCCTGGGCATTTTCTTGTTACTTGAACGTTGACTCCAAACGCCCGACGGCCATCTTGTGCACGTATTAATTGCATGTCCACAGCACAGGCGGAGACACGCTAACAATTTATTTGGCCAAGTATCCATGATTTAACACGAGAATGAACAACTTACTGGGACATGACACGAACAGATAATAAAACTGTGATGTCGTCCATGCAATTGGCACGACTTTGAATGTATCCTATTGGCATCCAGGATAGCTGCATCTTCCGTTGTTGGCAAACGCTGACAAAACATTCAAATTCTACAAGAAGCGACCAAATTATAATCCCATTCTCTGCTTTACACATTACACAGAACACGGTTCCAACCAACGATACCGTTCAGGTACGAGTGAAGTTACCCCTATCGATGCTGATCAAGGAATCAGTGGACGAAGTTTATTCAAAGAATGACAATACAAACTTAACAGGAAGGCTTATAAGTCAAAGGCATTCAAGAAATTAGTGTAGATGTGCGAATATGATATGCTCTTCGTCTGTTATAGTTTGATGCGTTCCTGCGTTTCTGTTATATACACATCACTATATAAAAAGGCCAGGGTGCCGGATGCCATGCTGCCTGTCTCCATACGTCAATACTCAACAGAAACAAACAGAATTGGTGTTAGGCTGCCACATACAACTATAGTCATCTAAAGTCAAAGACTTGAATAAAATAAAACTTGCAATTTTATGGATTCTTCATATTCATTCTACCTGTCTAGAGGCACCCCCTTCATAAATCACAGGACTCCAACTCAAACTGAAATGATAGCACCGCTGGAGGCTGGTTGTTTTAGGGACGATGCCGGTTTGCCACAGAATCTGGGGTACTTGAAAACCATAGTAATCCACAAAATGACATATAGCAAAAGATCACAAGTGCAGTAATCATCAATTTCAAATCACAATTTTATCATGGCTCTTGGTCAGTAGAGTTGTGACATTAAGACAGCCTAAAATACTGAGCGCATGATTAAACATCGAGTCAAGAAGGAAAGGGAAAAAAACAATATTGTCATAATCTCAATAAAATATGTCAATTGCTAGGCCATATATTTTAAACCAGCCACCCTGCTGAACATAGAAAGCAATGGAGGAAACATAATGGAGAGAGCGCCTACATATCACAGTATATTACCCCAATAAATTAGAGGGAAAAAAGAGATGGCCCTTTTACACCTACCTTGTCACATGTTTTGTCAAAGGATCAAGTCATCTTTTCACTCTTTGTATGTCCAAAGCAAGCAAAGATGATGAGTACCATGTGCATAGTAGTCCATGTAAATATACAGTATGGTCAGCAGAGATCCCTTTAACATACAGTATGGTGGCATAGTAGTCCATGTAAATATTTGGGCAACTCTCAACAAATGAAAAGCTTCATGTCCTCAACATTCAATAAATGGCTAGAAGATAATTAGCAAAACATTTTATTCAAAGTTTCTTTTCCGGCGCAGAGGAAACCTCAAAGCATTATAGGACCAGTCATTAAATATCCCCAAGAAACATGTAATGGTGCATATTACATCCAAACTCATATACGATCAATTACAAGCCTAAGCAGCAGCTGCACCAGCTCAGGATCATCTAAAGATGAGGATGAGATTTTGTCCCTATTTCTAAGATAATGAAAAAAGACAAAAGTAACCTACTAACGTAAGGTGCAAGATACAAAAAAAACATCCTCACAAGTTCGATTTGCCAATAAGTTCACAATATCGTTTTACAGACCAAGCTTAAAAAAGTTCCGGAAAAACTTAAAATGATATCATACTTCACTCTAAAAGGCCCACAACATTAGATACTTCTCATGTAAATGGAAGATATTTTATCCTCAATTAGAACCACATAACACTGCATCAAAACAAGAAACTCCTCAAGGATACCCAAATTAACAATGAGCAATTTCAGGACTGTTTGCTCCTTAAAAGATCCATGATCATTATGATGATATGAAACCTTTCACTGTATTTAGACCACATTCTCCCAGCTAATTCCTTGGATAAATAAGATTCTATTCCAATCTGCTCCTAACCACGCAGGTGATTTGTAACTGAATTTAACTCCCCATAACCTTCCTGAAAACCTCAAAAGCCTCACTATGCGTATTCATATATCAAGCCTGCCCATCAATTCATCAAAAGATAAATTCTCCACCTGAAAAATCTAGGCTTCCAGTTGACCTAGACACTTTTTGATCATCAATCATAAACTAGATCAGCTGCATGGATAGAGTACATTTAAAAAAAAAAAAAAAAAGCATCCCCAAATGCGGTCCCTTTTCTCGTCATGCCTAAACAAGAGATGGTCTAGCTCGTTCTCAATACAAAAGCTTATTGATATCTTACTCTAGGATCCAGATAAACAGCCTAATCTATACAGCATACATTAAATAACCTAGGCTCTATGATCTAATAGACACAAAAACTTGGAAATTAAAAAGGTTTAATGGAACAAGAGCAGGGTGAAGAAAGAAAAGAAATATTGAACTTCATAATTATATTCAGACAGCAAACCACGAGCTCATCATTGGAGAAGCCCCTCTCGCATTTTCCAGCACACCTAAACATCGTAAAGGACCAATGAAACATTAGAAGAGAAATCATGGCTGCATATTAGAACATAAAATCCTATAGAATAATCCTTACCAAAAGATTCTTGCATCTAGCAGTAGTATCTTCGCCCATATGAGTTGTCACCCCCATAAAAAGATGAATATGGATTTCCACCATGCTGCAACACCAATACCATAACTAATCAAAGAACTATGGTTTGACCATATGAATTATGAAATAGGTTGAGCAACATGCACCCACATCAGAACCATAATAATCATGTGAGTACTGTCCCCCGCCAGCTGCCATAGAATCTGCAAATAAAAGAGTCATTGTGATACTGACAATATATTGAACAAGCAATGATTTGTAATTAAAAAAGGGTGAAAGTCAATACCATGGTAACGACTGCTATGAAATAAGGCAGGGTTTGTATAATTCAGTCGAGGACGAAATCCAACAGGCCCCATGTAATTAGGATCTGGGTCCTGAAACATGGAGATACTAGATCAAACCACTAAATATTCAAGTAAGCCATATATGGAATACAAATAAAATTGTGGATAAACAAGCAGGATAAAATTTATTTAAAAAATAATCTAAAATATGCGGATATGCAAGAAAATTAAAATATATTCCAAATTGAATCTTACGGTCATATAAAATGGCCGCTTCACCCCATGCACACTGTCTTCATAAAAATATGAATCATCAATATGCCTTCCCATAAAAGGCCTGTCAAACTGTACTTCAGGAGAGAATGGCATCCTTGGGGGAATTGGTTCACCTGGACCACCCTCAGGGTTTCCATACCAAGTTCTGTCAAGATAAGGCCTAGATGGACCAGCAACTGCATAATGTCCTCCTCTCAAAGGAATCATCCTTTCCCCTGCTTTGGAATAAAATATTTTCAAAAAGACTTGAATGTTTAGTAATAATAATAATAAATAAAATATAGGCTTCAAATCAATACACGAAGGGGTCATTTCAATACCATGGAAGAAGATTCCTCTACCATAGTACAAACAGTGAGATATATAATATTTATTATACTCATAATACCAATATTTCACAGTGACTGTCCTTTTCTAGTTTTTTTTTTTATTAAGAGACACAAAAGACATCTCTAAACTATAAAATCACTTTTTCTATTCCATTTTCCTTTCCATTACCAAATGATCCCTAACATTCAAAAAGTAAAACAGCTGCTGCAAAGAGGACAACCAAGAGCAGGAAAAATGGTTCTTCATACCAAATTGCCTCTGATGAAAATCTGGATAAGCATTATCAAGATTATGGTCATTCCTGAAACCCATCCTTCCAATTTGACCATGTCCACCATGATAAAAATTGCGATCCCTATTAAAATTTCCCCAGTTGGCAGCATGTCCTCCACGAGCAAAACCCCTTTCTATCACAGTTGTGATTAAACAAATCAGAATGATATGCAAAGGTGATTACAGTTTCCAATTAACAGGGATGACAAAACTTACCAGATCTTGGAAAGGCTCCACTCCGAGCATGACCAATTCGGAACCCGCCACACATGCCTCCCTTGACAGCCTGTGTTTTAGGCAAAGGATTTGAAAGTCTAGCTCTCACTTTTGTCTGACAAAGATGGAAAATCATGAGCCCTCTTATTATCCAACCAAATGATACTTCAAGCAGAAAAGGCAACCAACCCTCAGCTCCTCAAGACCTCTTATTTATCTCACTCGTGAAAGCCTAATTCAAAGTGTCAGTTGGGTCTATAAGAAATGACATTCAAGCCACTAATAAACCAAATGTAATAAAGTCAATCAAGAGAGACCACCTTTCATATTTTCTGTTTCTTAAGAGTGATAGATGTATATATCTATATAAAATCTATAAAAAGTCACAGTATTCATAAGTCATGAACAGTCTGGCTCTCCTCAAACCTTATGCAAAGCACGAGACTTACATTCTAGTTTAAGTAATGAGAGCCAAAAGTTACCCTAACTTAAGGAAAAATATTAACATAGTGCAGGAAAGAAAGGAGAGAAGAAAAAATAATCTGTAATATAAGAATGAAAAATTATGTGCAAGTACCCATCTAGATGACATACCTTTTGTGTTCCATCAACAAACTCTGAACTATTTACACCATCAACACAAGCTACAGCAGCTTCATGGGTAGAGAAATCAACAAATCCAAAATCTTTCCTCTTAGCCATAGTCATATTCCGGGCAAGTACAATTCGTACAATTTCACCATAACCTTTAAAGTGCTCCCTAATGCAGCCTTCATCCCAGTGAGGAGGGAGACCATCAACAAAAACAGACTTCACTTGTGCCATAATCTCAGGATCCAGCTCTCGTACAGGTTCAGCAAAGGCTACTTTGGCCGTTCGCTCAGCATGACCAAAGATTACATCAGGCTTTTGAAGCCTCTTGTAAGCAAGCATGGCATCATGATGACAAGAGAACTCAAGGAATGCAAAGCCCCGGCTTACTCCTTCATGGTGAACATCTGGGACAAGTGTAATGGTTTCAACACCCTCAACACCATAATCCTTCAACTTCTGTTTGATCTGCCATCCATATCTTACAGTGAACAAGTGAACAAGCTAGAAAAATTAATATATTCAACAGGAGAAACAGCTATGCACTTACAGCTTCTTTTGTCCATGTATTGCATATATTTCCTAAGAATAATGTGTCATTATCCTCACTCGGCGCAGTGCCACATCGCTTACCACATATCTAAAAACAATGATAGGTTAGACAAAAAGAACAAAAAGGAAGAGAAGAAAAAGTGGGAAAACAAAGGAATGACCAATAAAAAAGAAAGAGATGCACATACAACAGGGTTTTTCATTTCTGACAAAGCTTTCTTTGCATGTTCCTTACAAGAAAATTTTAAGAAAGCATAGCCCTTATTTTTGTTTGTTGAAGAATTTTTATGCAGCCTGACTTCAGCTACCTCCCCAATCTTCTCAAAAACCTTTTTAAGATCTTCCTCTGTAGCATCACGATCAAGCCCACCAACAAATATTTCATTCTCTTTCTTAATCTTGTGCTCCTTCACCATAGCAGACAATTCCCTGCATTCCTCATCGAATGTCTCGGTTTCTTCAAGAGGCTCCTCTGGATCAGCCTCAACAGGCTCCTCCTCCCCTTGTTCTTCACAATCCATCCTTTCATCACAACCTTGGGTGCCTTGATCACCAATTAGATTCTCCTTTTCAGGTTTAACATCATCTTGCAGAAATCGGTTTGTCATTTCTTTCTCAACAGAATCAGTTTTAGATTCCTGATTATGTACAACAGTATTTGTCTCCTCTTGCATTGATTTCTCCGATGCTTTTTCTCCCTTCTTTTCCATTGATTTTTCTGATTCTTTTTCTCCATCCTCTTCCTTCATTTGCTCTCCTTTGTCTTTCATTTCCATGGTGACAGAGTCAGCATCACATTTCTCTTTCTGTCCAATACTAGTTGTCTGTTTTTCTATTGATGCTTTTGATACCTTTTCCCCGTCCTCCTCATTTGTTTGTTCTCCTTCTTTTGCTCCAGCAGGCTCTCCATTCTCCAGAGATTCAGAGAGCTCCACTATGGTAGGTTCTTCTTGATTCAACAAAATAGGGTCACCTTGGGAGGCAGATGCTACAACTATGTCTCTTTCCTTTTCTGCTAATCCACAAGCACTAGCATCATCCCCTTCCTTAGGATATTGTTCATTCCCTGCGGATTGTCTAACACACTCAACACCTTGTTCCCCCGCTTTTTTACTTTCAATTTCATCTGCTTTGACTTCCTCAACATATAGAGGCTCCACCGATTTCTGGGCTACTTCTATATTGTCCACTTTTGGTGTTTCACCAGCTATTGCCTCCACTTGTTCTTCCTTTTCCTGGGTAGTAACTGCTTTAGTTGAATTCCTAGGTCTTCCCACTGCCCTCTTCAGCGTCCTCTTCGGCGTTGACTTTGCAGCTGTAACAACATTTGCATCTGGTGTCACCTGAGAAGCATCACCCGCTGCTTTTGCCTCCCCTGTCACATTGAGAGAATAAAGTAAAAATCAACAAATTTCAACAGTAAACAGACTTAAAGAAAACACTTTAGTTGTTGGTCTGGTGAGCGATGACCATGTTCTGTGTGTTTGTTTGCGTGCGCGTATCATACAGATGAGGTAAATCGATTCTCCAATTATTATGCGTTTGATATGTCATATGATTATTCCAAAAAATTGATAATGCGGGAAAGAGTGCGTGACAACTTGCATAGTAATAACGTTGAAAATTTGCGAAAAGCAAATACTTGCAATCCAAATAAATACTCATAAACCAATAACATGTAATCTTCCAACTCGAAGCACAGACTCGGCAGACATACCAATTGCACTCCTTGTACTTGATTAAGTCAGAACAATTTTGTGGCTTTCCATCTCATAACGATAACTTAACTCACAAATAACGCGTCAAAAAAAATTGTCAACAAAAAAGTTGGGAAAGAAAAGTTTTACCAGATGATTGCCCCGGTTCCCCATAAAAGTTTGTGTTTTGTAAGGGCGAGGCCTCGTTCTTCTTTGCCTGCCTGGTTCTGATCGCAGAGGTGCGCTTGACCTGGGGAGATTGTGAGTTCGCCGGACTTTTAGGTGTGGATTTCCTCGTCGGGGGTGTCTTCTTAGCCGCCGCAGTTTTGGAAGCATCAGAGCTTCTAGTTCGCATGATGAATCGTCGCTATAGAAGCAGGGAAATTATGCCCAGTATGGAGGCGGTGATTCGCTGATTTCAGGTGTTGAGGCTTCGGAATCCCAATATTTTCTGTCGGGAAATATGACGATGGAATCTGCAGCGGCTAATGATCTCCGTTACCGTGCAATATTGCCCCATCCCCGTGTTTATATACACACAACTACACAAGACAAGTCTATCATTTTCCCATGTTAAATTGTGGATTAGAATTAATAATCAACAACAATCATGCATCGCCATTGTTAAATATAATGTAAGACTTAGTGAAAAAATCATTGAATTTGAAATTGGAATGAAAAGAAATAAAAATGAATAGGCTTTGAGAGTTTTATCGACACGTTACTTAGAAGACGTGTTGGGTGAATTATGTTGATAAAATAAAACTTCAAAGATGTCAAAAAGTAAAAAATATCCCCACTGCCTCTTATTTTTTGTTCATTACGTATTTACGTTGATGCAATTTCACTCCCCAGCTAAGCTTGAAAAATACACACTAAACACTCAACACCTTGAATTTTTTTTTTTTTTAAAAAAGATATGACTGTTGGTTAAATCGTGTTTTGATGTAGGTGCACATAGTTTTTTCATTACTCCTTCTATTTTGAATACGCTCGAAGAAACAATAAAATGGTATTAAATATGATAACTATTAATAGTAATATTTGTTCTGAAGTGAAATTATGCTTTAACAAGTTAAAACATGAAACAGAACAGCGTGGACAATGCTGTTAATCTATCGAATCATAATTGTACTCAACACTGATTAATGACTTTAGTCATGTGTCAACATATTTAACATTGCCAATGTTATCTCATTGTTCTTCTGAGTATATTAAAAAAATAAAGAGATTGATGTTATAGACGAGATAAAATGGAAAAACCTAAAGCAATTAAAAAAAAACTATAAAGATCTATATCAAATCACATTAAAATTATTTGGATTGATAGATATGTTTTCTCTTTTTTTGCCTACTCCAACGCTTTAATTCAAATTACATTCCATTAGGAGTATTCATATTTGTCCCATTTTGAGTTAGCCCAACTCTGTTCCAACCATTTTAGGACAAGTCTATCCTTACCGAAAAAAAAAAAGATGGAACATGAGACTACCTTTAAGATGCCTCGTCCCATCCTAGTTATATAACATACATTTTTATTTTATTTTATCAACACATGGTAGGCTATTTATTTAATGTATATGCGTTTTTGTTCACAATATACATTATTAATGTGCAAAAGCTTCAAATATCTCAATTTAAAAGAAATAATTGATGACTTGATATTGCACTTAACAAGTTATTTAAATTATTTAACTCAATAATTATGTTATTATTATACTTGTAATCTATAAGTTATTTTGTGATTGTCGTGTATTTAACTTTAAGTTGAAGTTGTGTTATTTTACTGTAAACTACAAATCAATAATTAAATTTATATACTTATGTTTTAGTTTTGAACTTTGCAGATTGTATGATTCAATAAATATTACTATTCAAATATCTCAATTTAAAAGAAATAATTGACTACTTGATGTTGCACTTAACAAGTTATTTAAATTATGTAACTCAATAATTATGTTATTGTTATACTTGTAACCTATAAGTTATTTTGTGATTGTCATGTATTTAACTTTAAGTTGAAGTTGTGTTATTTTACTTTAAACTACAAATCAATAATTAAATTTATATACTCACGTTTTAGTTTTGGACCTTGCAGGTTGTATGATTTAATAAATATTGCTATTCAAGTTTCTCTTTTATGTCTTGTCCACTTTATTAGAATGTCACAATTCTAAATGAGATGGGATAACTTTTGGATCAAAACAGGAGACGAAGCAAAAATACAAGCCTGTTCATTTTTTAGAATGTAACATGGGTCAAGCTGTCCTGGTCGCATCACATCCTTTACACACTCCTACCTTTCACTTCCTAATTCTCAATCCTCATGTACTAAATATTTTTTGATTTTTTCCTAAGGCTATAATTTCTTGTTATATGTTATTGAATTACTTGGTGGTGATTGAACATTGGGAGAATGACGGTTAAGTCTCAAGGAGACTAATTAATTCAAGTTAAGTCCTAACCAATTTTAAAATGCTAGTAAAGTCTCTTGGTCCTTCAGTGATAATAAGTTTAATAGGGATTTGTAAAGATTTGCAAGCTCGGCTCCTTATTTTACAAATTCATTGTGATATATTTATAACTTATTTTTCAAATTTTAATCCACAAATGTTTATCTCTCTAATGTTGAAAGGTCTTGAATCTAATAGTTTCAAGAATTTGCAAGTTCAGCCTTTTATTTTATAACTTTGTTATGATGTATTTCAACTTGTTTTCCTAATTTTAATAAGAAATACAAATATTCATATTTAATGTTGTAAAATATTAAGTCTAATAACTTTAGGGATTTGTAAGTTGGATTTCTAATTATACAAATTTATTGTGATGAATTTATAATTTATTTTTTAATAGAGAACACAAATGTTCAAATTTAAAGTTGAAAAATATTAAGTCTATTGTTTATTATTTTTCTATTGCATATTTAACAATAAAATAAATATATCATCAATTTCTCCATTACGTATTATTTATTTTCAACCTTTTTAAAATTTAAAACATAAATTGCAAATATATTATAATAAAATTGTAAAATTGAGAGTTGAATTTGTAAATTTTTAAAGATGTTAAACTTATTATCATTAATTTATTGACACTCTAAAATTGATTGAGATTTAACTTAAGTTAATTGATTCTTTTTAGATTTAATTTTGGTTCTCCCTTAAATATTTCCATATTCTCCAACAAAATCTTTAAAGCAAATGCCAGTAACATCATTCTTATTGAATACAACGGTCAATGTTATTGGAAATGCAAAGTTCATGACTGATATTTTTAACAATGAAGCTGTGTTAACGATGAATCAATCCCGAGCTTCTATGCAATGCAAACACAATGCTACCAATATTTTTCATCGTGAATTATTTATATATAAATATAATAGCAGCATGATAAAGTAATGCTCCGCCAATCTTTTTCGCTTTTCTTTATTTTACTATTCAAACGATGATCGTAAGCGACAATAGATTATTGGTGGTGGAAGATGTTTTGATCCAAGTTTATCTCAAGTTAATTATCGTGGTGAAGATATTTTGATTATTTATTATCAAGTAAGAGTAAGAAGGAATAGAATTAAAACATGTTAAGGATTATTGCACTTCATTGTAGCTTTCATAACGATGTCATATAAACTTTTCTAAAATTAATCCGGTAAAATTTTACATTTACATTAACTTAATAAATAACTGCCTTTATAATGCTTATATATATATTTTTTCCATAGGCAAATCTTTCTATCTTGATTATGACAAGGAAGCTTTTTATGTGTGTGTGTGTTTTTTCTTTTTTTTTTTTATGTATGTATGTTTTAAAATTAAAATATATACATACACTATAATGCTGAAGCTTTTAACCAGTGGGCAAAAGATTCGTGCCCATTTAACTCAAGGGCCAATGCATTTGACTCAATGAAGCCATGAATGTAGCAGGGAATTGAGCCTGGGCTGGTGAAGTGATCGGCTCCACTTGATCAGTATCAAGGGATATATGGATGCTTTATTTGTTTTAAAAAAAATAAATAAAGATTCCTTCATGTGTTTACAGGCTAATATTTAAACATGAAGCAATCACTTTTTTTTTTTTTTTCAAGTAAACCCCCCTCCATAAAAACTGACACCTATCCAGTGAAATATAATATAATATAAATATATGTATAAGTATAAATATAAAATTAACACCTATAATATAGACTATATCTATAAAAGTCCTCTAGATTACCGTAACAAGTAATTTTATTTTTAAAAATTACTTATAGATTTTGTTTATAAAAACTATAATTAAAGGGAAAATGATAATAAAATTTTTCTAAAATACATAAATAATAATTTGGTTCCTCAAAATACTATAATTCTTCTAAAGTTATTAGAGACTTTTTTGTTATTAATAAATTTATATAAATTATCAAATTGTCCTTATTGAAAATAAATAATTTACAAGTTCCGCTTAAATATTCACAACTTTCTTTCTTATATTCGCAACAATGCAATAGATGCTCTAATAGTAATTAATAGAATGATACTAAGAGTGAGGGTAAGAAGATTTGAGAAATTAATATTTTGTGGTTCTCATAAGTATAAATATAAACATATATTTGGTCAAAATTGAGGGAAAGTTGTTGGATAGTTTGTTTTTTTTATAATAAAAGCTACCTAATACTCCTTGAAAAATAATTTGTAGCTAAATTTTACATTTGTCATACTAACATGTCGTGCCACGTGTCATTATATACTCCATATAATGTCCGTTAGTTAAAGTTAATGACGAGCTATTAGATGTTCCATTTTTAAGAATTTATAATTTACTTTACATCATCTAATAGTTTAGACTATTAGACACTTATCAAAAAATAATTTATAGTTAAATTTACTTCTTTACCTTCATAATACTCATTCCATTTAAACTTGTCACACCATCTGTGAATAATGAATTTTGATTGTAAATCATGAATTCTCGTTTGTAAATCTGATATGACCGCTTGGTAATGATTAAAAAAAAAGTCAAGAATACTAAATAGAATATAAAAAAAATGTCAAGAATATTTATTCCATTAAACACACCATGCTAGCTGTAAATAATGAAGTTGCATATGTAAATTGAGAATTTTCACTCGTAAACATAAGATGACTCCTTGTTAAAAATCACAAAAGGTCACCTTTGCACAAAGATCATGACCACATTCATTACAATATTTGAAAGTATAAAGAGAGAGTTGTGAACAATGAAATTCTAGTTGTTGATTCTAAAATTATAATAAAAATTACAAAAAAAAAAAATACAAAACATTTGCTAATTTATTCATCAAAACATACTCCAGAGTCCATCAGATCAGATTAGTTCATTTTTGTCGGGGATCACTCATGTACCCATTCTAAGTAATCGACTGCAACCAATTATCCATCTATTTCTGCCAAGGTTCCAAAATCTGGTTCAACTAATTGCCTTTTTGTGATCGGAAGGCCCAATTTTAATGATTCAGATTTAGAGGTGATAGCCTTTGCTATTAGATGAGATGTTGTTTCCTCCACAACAACAACAATTTGAAGAATTCCTGATTCCTCATAATTAAAAGAGCCCACACCAAGGACAATTGGTTTTCCTTTTACTATGGTTCGTCTTCCTCTTGTTCGCAAGGTCCATCGCTTGATTCATCTTCATTCTCCTTCCTTTCAGTTTTGTGTCTTTGTTCGTCTCCCTCTTCGCTAGGTCTGCTGCTTGCTTTGTCTTTGTTCGCCTTCCCTTGGGTTCCGCGTCTTCATTAATTCACAAGGACATTAGGGTTGAGTAGTTTAAGTGAGAAAGGTTAAGTCATGGGAGCAGAGTTCTTTTCCCCCCATCTAATTTGATATATTTTAATAGAAATAATATTATTTTTACACCCTGTCTATAAATTACACTTAAATTTTAAGAGGTTAATCTACAATTTTTAAATTTTATAAAATATATTTATGAATAAATTTTTTTATACGGGCCTATATATAATTGTTCCTTTTGTTTTTATATGTTATATTTATCTTTCATTAAGTTCTTTTTAAACCTTCACTTAATTAATTAAAGTAAATTAGTTATTTAATTTAATTTAATAGTAATTATTTGTAACCTGGGAACATTTTTTGTAAATCATGATGAGGGAGGGCATTCCTCACCATTTCTCCTTCGATGACGCCTTGGAACATCGACTTGCTACCATTCAGGTATTCTGTTGAAGTAGTTAGTTGCCGCACCTCGGATTACAAAGTGAAAGTGGAACCCGAAGAGGAAGAAGAAGAGGGCAAGAGCATATCCTCGAAGTGCTCGCTACATCTCATCCGCTAATGCTTATTACCCCGATATCAGTGAGAGTCTAATGCTTATTACCCCGATATCAGTGAGAGTTAGGCTTTGATTTCTACTTTCACTCCCATAAGTGCTGATTATGGGCGCTTCAGAGTCTACCTTCTCAAACTCCGAGGTTGAACTCTTTCAAGTCCACCATTTTACCTTGATTTTGGATTACAGGACTCCATTTGTGTTTAAGCTGTTAATTTCTCTCTTGTTTTCTTCCTTTTCCCTTGTTCGCTCTCTCAATTTCTAATGGTTGCAGAGGCCAGATGACAAAATTACCACCGTATCAGAGAGATCGGAGGCCGCTGACCCCATTTTGGAGAAACTCAAATCGCTCAAAATTGTAAGTTTTAATTTCATTTATTTTCTTTCTTTGTTTATCGAGAAAATGAATCTTCATTCTCTAGAGGGCTTATGTCTGATTATATTTCTAGGCAAGATTTCATCTTGCGGATCCCTGACTCTTATTTTTGCTTCTTATGTTGAATTGAAGACATCGCCCATATTGACGTCTCCCCCAGCAGAGAGTAGCTTAACTGATATTTTACTGAGGAAGCCTTCGTCGTCGTCGGTTTCAGGTGGGTTCTCAACTTCTCATAGTTCAACTGCTCAACGCCACCCCTCCCCCCCAATAAGTAAATAAATAGTTGATCATATTTGCAATGGAGTGCTTATTGCAAGAACTCATGAGACCTTATTGGGTGCCCGTCCTGGGTCAGGCTTGTGTAAATTGGACGCAAATTCTAGGCAAGATAATTAGCAAAGATGTTCAAAGATTAATATATGACCTTGGGGACGAGTGTTAATCGCTATAGCTGGCTTCTTTGTGCACGGAGGATGCTTATCTTTTCCATCCTCTTGTGCAGTTTGTTTTTCTTGTAGTTAACGAAACATGCTATACCTTGTGCATTCTCTGGTACCATTAGTTTTAGTTCAAATTAATTTAGATATGAATTACCCATGTGATACATTTTTTTATCTTCTGACTTCTTAGAGTTCCTTAATATTTGTGGGAGCCCGGAAAATTGATGGATACTTTTTTACAAGAGGTGAAGCGTTAACTTAGAGTGATAACAAATTTAGGAAAGATACTTTGTCACAGTCCCTTGTGCAAATCCAAGTCCCCAGATATCTTTTTAGATAGTAGTAAATGCATAAACACTTGGATTCTCTCTTAACACATCTCCCTCCGCATTCCTGTCTTGGCTATTCCCCTATCATAGTTCACAAATAGGAGAAAAACATAGAGTTGTCATGTTGCATTGAGATATTGAAGTTTGCGGGGATTGCTTGTCCTTTACTTTTGAATATGAGAGAGGATTAACGCACTCTAAGATAGGGAAGGAAGATAATATAACAGGCTTTAAACTTGTCTGGGTATCCCCACCTCACCAAAGGCTAGAAGACATTTATAACTCCTATGCGGACAGTTGCTATTAGTACAATGAATTAATAGGTTCCTTTTCTATTTTTCTAATCTACCTACTATATATTATTTACTTGAGTTTCAAAAGCTTTCTATTTCACACGCTTCAGGTTTTCCACCCACATCTATTACGCAACAGATTGATGTTGGCCCCTATCTTATATATCATAATAAGAATAGACTAGTTGTCACTTAGCGGTATGCTATCTGATACTATTACCATTAACTGTTCAATTGAGACTAATCCTTAATTGCTTGCACTTCATGGCTGAAACAGCTATTGTAAATCCAAAGATTCTACTGGATCTCTTCTCAATGTACCGTGATTGGCAGGAAGAGAAAGCTCAGAAGATAAGCAAAAGGCAGGTCTGTCTATCACAATAGTTCGGTAAATTCAATTAGTTTTGGATTCAATTTCTTACCAAACATCCTTCCCAAAAGCTAAAAAGGATATCACTAAAAAAAACAATGAAATATTTTTATCTACTGTCATTACAAGCAATAAAAGGAAATTATATTTGATAGCTGGCTGTTTAATCGTAATACATTGTATTTCTTTTTTCCTTCTATTTTTTGAGTATCATAGAGTAATTGGTAATGCATAATTGCGTAAAACATACATCCTATGCATTGCTTGGGGTCTAAGATAAATTGCATTATTCATGACCTATGAATGACATGGGGTCTAAGTAGAATTCATATAGCTGACCTGATTCACCCTTCACTTCATGCTAAACCTGAGATGGGCATCTTTCTAATTATTTTCATATGTAAACAAATTTTATGAGCATTTGTTAGAAAGATTTATCGATCATTGGTACAATTTTTTAAGCTAAAGGTGCTGAATCTTGGAGATAATTTTAATCAGAGAATCCCTTGAATTTTAGTTTACTTGCGAATAACTCCTTCAACTTTTGAAGCTAGAAATCCCCCCCTCTTCCTTCTCCAACTCTTTAAACCCCAAGAAATAGTTCTTTTTGTCTATTTTCCCCCAAATGAAGTTAATCTTAAACACCACATCAACTTTCCTGTATTTAGCATGTTGGCATTATGGATGAATTGGATCTTGCTTAAGTTATGGTATGGGAAAGTCTGACTTGGCATTTGAGTTACTATTGTTTAAAAAGAAAATCCATATTTAAAAGTTGAAGGACATTATTTCTGGTTTTAAATGCAACCAAAGGGGTGCCTTTTGAATCATCACTAATAATAAATTAATCAGTTATATAGTATGAATAGTGCATTTTGGTTGCTTGCTAATTGGAAACTGTAAGGAGTTATATCAGAACCTGAAATCACCATCTTGGATTTAGGCTCCGATAATTTTTATGCTGATGTTGATGTTTTTTAACCACTCATTACACTATGTCATTGTTTGCATGAACTGGTAGACAGTTTTATCACGTTGGAAAAATTGGCATATAAATGCTATGAGATCGTCTGATGCAAACCAGCAAGAATAATGAAAATTCTCGCAGGAGGAGATAGAAAACAAAATAGAAGTTGCAGATGCTTTGGCAGTTAAACTTCTTCAGCGATTTAACCACTCAGTATCTACAATGAAGACCGCTTCACAACACCTATCAGAAGGTAATTGATCAATCAAAATCCAGTATTATGGGGAATACTGTGCTGCATGTCATCATAGTAACACATGTCGCTTCAGTATCCATTAAATGAAAGGGAAAATTGCCGCTCAATTATCTTGTTCATAAAGGTTTTACTAACCAATCCATATAAAATCTTAGATTCATCTGCATTTCGTCATAATGTATACATGTACTGCGTGCACTGATTAATTGGCCAGTTTACCCTTTGCCTGACACTGCTGGTCTTCCACCATTGCGTGTCAACATCTTCGAACTTTCTCTGAAACATTCATGCTCATATGAGTTGAAGAGTCCCACTTAATGGTAAATCTTAAACTCTTGCATGTCTCTTACGGTATAATGTTTACATGGTACGGGTGAAGAACTAATTAACTGTGACTGTCACTTCAAGGGTTCTGTTTTACCTACTACTGCAAGAGAAGACATTGGGTCCGTTTGGATTTCAGTTGGGTATAATAGATTATGAAAATAATTGATTAAGTGGTAGATTTTAATCATAATTGATTATGTTATAACGCAATCTGTTTGGATATTATTTTTCTAAAATTGATTTTAACAGAATTAAAGATGTTTGGATAATTTAATTAGAATCAATTTTAGTTATATAAATTACTATATAATTTAATTTTTAAATACCAAATATTAATTTTTTGAAGATGCAAAGTTCAAATTTTATTAAGAAAAAAAAAGGAGAAAAAGAAGAGAATTTAGTTTTATTTTTATTAAATTATGTGCTTTTTTTGTAATTTTTGCTTGGACCTGTCTTTATAATTTTCCCCAATATTTTGGACAAGCTTCTCCGCAGAAGCTCTGATTCTCAGCTTCCTATTTTTGGCCTGAAAATCGATTCTCCAAAAAAGTGGGTGTTTGGGTAATTTTTTGGAGAATCGATTTTTTGGGCCAAAAATCGATTATATTTACTATCCAAACACACTGATTATAACTTTTGTATTGGAACTCGCTGGCAGTCCATGCATTGCAGGTGGAAATTGGAGAGCTTAAAGGACGGTTGACTGAAGTTATCAGTAATTGTGATGCACTGTGCAACAGAATTACAGCAGAAGGCCCAGAATCTCTCAAATTATCTATGAAGCCTTTTACAATTCATAAAACTAGACAAGAAGTCTTATCCAACACGCCTAATTTGCAGACAGGTTTAATTAGAAATCCACCTTCAGAAGAAGAAAGGTCAAATTGACATGTTTGATTCCTGTATACGTCGAGGATTTCTACGTTCTTACTGAACTTGATGTTTTGCTGCCACACCGACTCACAAGCCTTATTTGCGATGGAAATACAAAAGGGCAAGGGACTACGTGGCCTTTGGATTTGACATGTCACATGTAACCAGTGCCAGATATAGAGTGACTATTTGATTTATTTCATTTTGCAGATTTCTTTTCCCAGTTAACTGGGTAAATCACGATGTAGCTGGGTAGCTGACAAACGTTTCAGTTGCAAGTGTGATAGAAAATTTTAGTAATTTTCCTTTAAAGTTTGGTTAAATTATATTGAATTATTTGTTTATTAAAACAATTACGTCTCACTTTTCTTAATTTCCCCTATTCATATATTTAGGATAAAACTATAATTTATTGTTGTTCAAAAAATAATTTTTTAATGAAAGGAAAATTAAAGATAATTTGAGCAATATACAATAAAATATTGAGAAAGTTTAAAACGAATTGAGAAAATAAGGCATAAAAAAAAAGGAAATCATGTCAGAGAGTTTCTTTAATTTATGTGATTTCAGTATATTTTATCATCATTACTTGCGTAACTTAGTATCTTTTTGTTATCATTTTTAGCATGATGTAAGCATTGCTTTCATTTCCGTCTTCATTCTTTTTTTTTTTTTAACAATGCTAAAAAATTTTGCTTGTCACAGTCAAATTTTCTAAAACTTGAGTCTTTTATACTAATGAATTCAGGGTGCTCAATTCCCATACTAATCACATTTTGTCTTCATTTAATCTCCTTATTATGTATTTGGCCAAAAAAAAAATCTCCTTATTATGTACGAAATGCAGCCTTAATTAATTGTCAAACGTTCAAAACTCTTGAGAAAGTTGTATGCAAGCGACCAGGGCCAGGCCAACATTCCTGCTCTCGCATTTGAGCTTTGAGGTTGCTGCTGTCACATTTTTACCTCGTCACTGCATGAGGAAAAGCATTTTCTTATTGCTTATGAAGATTAATTCATTAATTCAGTTGGCAAGAATATAGCTCATATCTCGGAAGAGAGTGGCTTCGCATCCCGGAGGATTAGTTATGGCTAAGCTATATGGTTTTTTTTTTTTTTTTTTTTGAAGTACTATTCCTGAGAGGTGTAGAATACATTAGCAATCAAGAGCCAATGGAAGAAAAATAAACAAAACAACGAAGAGATAATTTAATTTCTGCGACAACGGATGAACTCACATTGAGAAAATGGGATTATATAAAATTTAGATAGTACATAACTTGAACAAAAGAAAATCATTCATCCGATCAAACTGTCATCTATGGTAAATCATTCAAACAACAGCAGGGTATATCTTAAAAGGTCTAAAACCTATCATAGAACGAACTTCTAAGCAACATGTTGTCTAAAGCCATAAGAGAAGAGGTTGAATTACCCGTTCATATAGATCAAGGCTGTTGCTGAGCATCCAAGTAGCCAGCATCGACAAGCACCTTCTCCCTCTTGGCCAATTCAATGTCCTCGTCCACCATCATCTTCACCAACTGCTCAAATCCCACCCTGGGCTTCCACCCAAGCACTTTCCTAGCCTTGCTAGAATCCCCCTTGAGATTGTCGACCTCTGCTGGCCTGAAGTACCTCTTGTCAATCTCCACATGATCCCTCCAATTCAAACCCACGTGTCCAAATGCAACCTCCAAAAACTCTTCCACTGTGTGGGATTCCTCCGTGGCCACAACGTAATCGTCCGGCTTATCCTGCTGCAGCATCATCCACATAGCCTCCACATAATCCCCAGCAAAACCCCAATCCCTCGAAGCCTGCAAATTCCCCAAGAACAATTTGCGCTGCAGGCCGAACTTGATCCGACCCACAGCCCGCGTGATCTTCCGGGTTACGAAATTCTCACCTCGCCTCGGCGATTCGTGATTGAAGAGTATCCCATTGCAGGCAAAGAGCCCATAAGCCTCGCGGTAATTGACGGTGTACCAATGGGCGGCGCATTTCGACGCCGCATAAGGAGACCGAGGATGAAATGGGGAAGTCTCCGATTGCGGAGGTGGGGTGGAACCGAACATTTCCGATGATCCGGCTTGGTAATAGCGAATATGGCTGCGACCGGTGGTGGCGATGTGGGAGCGAACAGCCTCCAAGAGTCGGAGAGCACCAGTGGCGACAACATCGGCGGTATAATCGGGGATCTCGAAGGAAACGGCGACATGCGACTGGGCAGCGAGATTGTAAACCTCATCGGGGAGGATTGTGTCGAGCCATCGACGAAGGGAAGAGGCATCGGTGAGATCCGCATAATGAAGCTTCATTCGAGCCTTGTGGGTGTTGTGTGGATCGATGTAGATGTGATTGATTCGTTGGGTGTTGAAGTTAGAGGAGCGGCGAATAAGGCCATGGACTTCGTAGCCTTTGTCAAGGAGGAATTCAGTGAGGTAGGAACCATCTTGGCCGGTGATGCCGGCAATCAATGCCACCGTGCGCGGAGGAGAAACGTCGCCATTAGCGGCTGCGGGAGAAGATCCAGATCCAGATCCAGCGGGCTTGTTCTGGGACGCCATGAGAGTTGAGACAGTTTTGAATTGGCGGGTTGTAGCAGCGTCAGAGGCCGACAAAACGAAGGTTAAAGTGAAACGGTGACGAGAGACCGAAAGGATGCAATTACCAATTAATATAGTGAGTGAGGAACGGCGACATCACGCGGTTGTAAATTACCAAAAATATTTAATGACTAAAAGATTGCTGAATGTCGTTTGTTTTTTTTAGAAAAATTATAAAACTTTTATCAATCATCAATTATCAATATATCAATCACCTGTTTTAAAAAACAAAACTCTTTCTGATAAAAAAATATAAAATATTTTTAATTAAATTTCACTCTTAATAAAATAATTATTTATTTTTAAATTAATATTATTTTTTATATTTATTTTTATTTAATAAATTATTTTAATTTAAAATAAATATAAAATAATTTATTCATTAAAAATATTTTTTAAAAAAATAATTATATTTTAAAAAAAATTAAAAAATGTCCTCTATTTTTTTAACATATAATTATTTTTAAAAATATTTTATATTTTGTAACGAGGGAGTATATCAATGAACCTGCATATATAAAATAAAATTTTATTATTTAAAAATTATTAATATCCTTTTCATTTAAACTCCCTGCTGCATAATCCAAAAAAATTGGAAGAGATAAAAACCTATCTTTTTTTATCTCATAAAAAATATATTTCTACCACACATTTCTTCACATGACATATAAAATTTGAAAATAAAGTGGTATAATTAATAATTTATAATTATAAATAGATAATTTAGTGCAAATTTTATTATATCTATTAATATTAATGTATGTTTTGACAATAAAAAATTAATATCAATCTTCGGATTATTAGTGCTTTATCATTGGCAAAATTTTTGCCCCTACGTGATAAACTAATAATGGATGGATATCTGGTCAATGGTGTCGGTGCGTGACTGCGAGACGTGCAGCATCCGCGCTCTCCTTTGCGGGGATGGATCTCCTGACATTAAGAGAAGAGGTAAAAGGAGCAAGTTAAAATTAAAAGAATGACGTTGATCATTTACTAACACCTCATTTGTATAGTGAAGGAGTTTTTGATAAAATTAAAATTAAATTGAATTGAATTATAAAAATATGTTTAATATAAAGATAAAATCTTAATATAATTTTAATAAATATATACATTTAAAATAAAATAAAAAGATAAGAATGTCCTCTACCCAAAATAAAAAGACCTCATCTATCCATTTCATCATCCCTCTCTTTTTTAATCACTGAACACCATGCAAAGCCACTTCTTCTCATATGTTGCACAAAATCAATTATAGCCATTAAACCCACCGCAACCTTTTTTCACTTTCACACAAAACTAGCAGCAACTATTCAAATTAATTCGGCCTCTAATACTTCACAAAGCCACTTCAAATATTAATGCTTTAGCTTGCTTGCTGTACTTTCGAAGAAGTGGTGGTTGGAGGAGATTGAAGGTGGAGATTAAAAATAAATCATTACTGGGAGCTTGATTCCATGACAACCTATGATGAATAAAATAGAAGAAGAAAACAAAGGAAAGGAGTTGCAGAGAAGTTAAAACCTCTCACCTATGAAATGGCCTATCGATGGCATGAAAGAGGTGAGGTAGTGGTGGTGACAAAGGCGAAGGTGGTGGTTGTAGATCATGCGACAATGGATGCAAATCAGTTGCGAAGTTCAACGGTAGTGGATCATGAGGTGCTTCCATCCTTTATCTTTGCCACCAACAAAGCAATGAGTTGGAGAGCCGGTGGAGTTCGATGACAGTTGATCAAAGAATCGAAGAGTAGAGTAGAGATAAGATTGAATTCTTAGGAGTTTGGCCTAATTTCATAGAAGCAAGGAGGGAATCCAATTTTGCCTTTTTTTTTTTTGAGGAATCCTAATTAATATGTACCGAACATCACTCTATTTGGATTCTTACCCAGTTTCATTTCCATGTTCAAGATTCTATCCTATCAAACATAGCCTAGGACTTTTACCAAATTTGCAATTCATAATTACTGAAAATTATTAATTAATTAATAGTGTATTATATTATTTTTAAATGACTTGTTATTTTTTTATAATTAAATCAAATAGAACTTCAATTGAAAAAAACTAGGGGCTCATATTCAACAAAAAGTAAAACAACTAGTGTTATTCTTGACATGTGAATAGTATAATTCTTACACTCATTTATTGATGATTATTATGTATATTGAGTGCTCTATATTGCGATATAATACATGCTATACTATATCAAAAATATTTTCTATGACAATGGTAAATAATAATCTAAAAAAGTATTTAAACTTGCTTCATAAGTTTTTGCATTGAGATAGTTTAATGACATGGTCAAAATGTTGTTGAGTATGATCATTAATGTTATAAATATTCTCATACTTTTTTATGTTCATGTATCTCCAAGACTCCAACTCTTTTTAATCATGACTTTCATGAATCAGCCCTTCCAAGAAACTTAGACATGCACTTTCATTTTACCTTTATGAATCCAAGACATTAAATTGAAGACCTGAAGGGTGCATGAGTTGAAGACTATTTTTTCTTTTTTCTTTTTTTTTTCCAGGTAAGGCAATTAATTTGACGAGGTGAAAGGTCCTTACATACATAAAACCCAATGGAAATAAACAATTTGGCCCAACAGACACTATAAACATAAAACACAAAGAAACATAATATAAATATAAAAAGGCTGTTGGATTATTGATCCACCTTGAGGACACGAGCATGCATAAACACATCGCCACTATGAAGAGATAGGTGTTTTATGTGTGTCGGGTTTGTCAAAGGAGTGTGTTCTAAAAAAGTGTAATATTTTAAACTTTTAAATCAAACAATGAATTCTCAGGATCCTTTATTATAATTTATCCAAATGCAATTGTTTAAAAGTAAAGGAAATAAAGGAATAAAAATGGAGAAACATACGAGACTTGCATGGTGAGAATAGACATGATATTAATAATGATAAAAAAAAAATATAGTAAATAAAATATGAAAAACTAAAAGGAAAAGCGTTGGTGCTCTATTATTACTATTTTGTTAGGAGCTGGTGTTCTATTGGATGCTAGTTGAAGAACTCACTGTTTTCTACTAAATGCATGACATGCTAAGGACATTGTGTTGAATTTGTTAAATGATAAAACTAGTAGTGCTAGGCGAAGTAAAGGATGACACAAGGTCAATGTTTAAGTTTTACGTAGGGCAAGTAGAGATGTGTGTAGTCTGTAGAAATGAAGGGATGTGCATGTGTATGGTGGCTTCCCTTTTATAGGCATAAGGTGGCAATTTTTACATGGTTCTTGCTCTAACTTTTTAGGGTTACTAGCTACAGTTTTCCCATAACTTCCTTTACTCTTTGCTATTTCTGAAGTGGTGTGCCAGTTTATTTTTGTAGCAAGTAACCACTTTTCTTATAGAAGACTCTTATAGGCTTAGGCAAAAATTATTATTTTTAGCCTAAATAGTTAGGGTTAGGGCCAAAATTAGATTTTGGCCTAAATAATAGCCCCTACATACAAATTTGGTTGAGTTCATCGTAGGCCAAGTTTGTATGGATATTTTAATTGTTCCATTCTTTATGCATTCCTAATGTATATGAAGTGGAACTAAGGGAGCTAGCCTTTTTTAATTAATGTTTCAAGAGGTGGTTCTACTTGATATTGCTCTTAATAAAGGGCTTTGGGTGTAGATATTGCTCTTCATTTGATTTTAAAGGATTGAAGTTTGCCTTTAGTTCATTATCTCAAGATAGTTAGTTGCTCTCAGAGAATTACCCCTTAGGCTCTTGATTTGTAGCTGGCTCTAAAGGCTATAAGTTGGCCTCTAGCTTAGTGTCCTCACTCCTCATAGAGCTCATCCTTGGAGCCATAAGAGGACTACCCCTGAGCTCTTTAAACATGCTTGGTTCCAAAGGTTAAGAATTAGCCTCAAGCTCATTATCTTCGTAGAACTCATCCTTAAAGCTACAAGAAGAATGCCTCTTGGGCTCTTCGAACATGCTTGGTTCTAAAGGCAAAGAGTCGATCTCGGGTTCATCGTCCTTATAGATCTCATCCTTGGAGCTATAAAAGGAGTACCCTCGAGCTCTTTGAACATGCTTGGTTCCAAAGACTAGGAGTTGGCCTTTGGTTCATTGTCTTTGTGGAACTCATACTTAAGGTTATGAGAGGATTGTGTAATACACTAAATTTTTTTTTAAAAAAATTTAACTCAATCATAGTTAGGTTACAGCCTCCCAACACATTTTATATTAATAAATTCAATATAAAAATATTTTATAATTGGCTTCAACTCACACAATATAACATTTCAGATAAATTTTTACCTCCCACATGCCATTAGGCTAAATCACATTTGTCCATCCTTATAATCCCAACAAGTAAAATAAACAATTTAGTCAATTTTCAAAGCAAGCTAGTTATTTGGCCTCATAATCATGCCATTTTAACCAATTCAAAGTAAACCAAATATTAAAATTACAGTCATCCAAAGTGTACCAAAAATAGAAATAGTTTGAAAGGTATGATTACATTTATATATTCATATAATTGTCAATAAACAAAAAAGCTCTAATATTGACAATATAAAACATTATAAATCATAAATCAAATACCCAAAAGAGACAGTGAATCTATGCCACTAAGCCTCTGGGACTCCTCCACGTGTCACTCGTGGCTCTTCTCCTAAAAATTGTTAACCACATAATGAGACTCAAAAGTCCCAGTAACCAATGCTAATTTATGATAGTGTATACAAACAGTTAAGTGTGTGCTTACTAAGTAGGAACCAAAAATAATATAATTCTAACAAATATAAGAAATATTACAATATACACAAACAATCATCATTATATCCCTCCATTAACCTCGAGCTGTAGCCCTCACTTGATGCTAAATTACCCGGCCAAAGGTAGATTAGCTCGAGCCTTTACAAGCCACCTATTGAGCTTCAATAGGGGCGTACCACGTGGCATATGAATACAACAACAATAGCAAGTCTCCCAACACCTCCCACAATAATCAAACAAATTCATAATAATATTGCACAATTATACAATATTACAAAATTCATAATTTTTTCAATA